TATATATATATATATATATATATTGTTTAAAAATTTATTATAACAAAACAAACTTGTGGAAAATTAATAAAGGAGAATTTTTTCACCTGATTTCTGCAGGTATTGTAAATATATATACTGTAGTATTGTACTGTAGTATTGTAAATACATATATATAAATATAAATACTGGAAATAAGTATGAGACATAATTTTTTTTAAGAATTATAAAATTGTCAATTCTTTTTAAACCAGCAAGATATTCCTAGAAAATATGTTCCTAAGGTTTACTTACATTCTCATTTGTCGGTAAGGCACTTGCGGTATTCTGATACAAGTCACTTGAAGGAATATTGGCTGAGCCTCTTTAGTAAGAAGATTACTTTTATTCAATTGTTCTTCAGTTAAATGAAACATCGCTGAAATACACTGTTGTATGTGACTTTTTGATATTTCTTTCAAATAATCTTCCGCTTTGTCGTTCTCTTCATCCGGCGTTCTAGACATTTTCTCATTCACTTTCAACATAAGAGTTTTCCTTTTCTTTGCAGACTTATTTACAACTTTTATTATGGTTCCTTGTGTTTTCCGTTTGTCATTCTTCCGTTTTACTGAAACACTCTTCTCTTGTTGTTTCGTCTCTGACACGTGTTCAACATGCTCTCCACTAATTTTCGGTTTCTTCATTTTCAATACTTTATCCATGATTTTTCCATCTTCATCAGTTACATTTTTTTCTAGCTTTCGTTTGACCTTATTTTGCGAAAGTTTTTTTTGAGAAAGAATCATTTTAACAAAATTTTCTTAAAAATGAATTAGAAAAGTTTACATGTACATCCAACAGTCAGGGGTTACGGAGAAGAAATGTGGTCTGTTCTTTCTAGCTACCCTTCTAAAACATTCATCTATCAAGAACACACCGTGAATCAACTCGACGCTTCTGATTGGTCATATACTCTTTCTAGGGATCTTTCAATCGACAAATCATATTTCACCTAATTTCGTGCTTGTCACAAAAGAATCACATTCATCTATCAAGAACACACCGTGAATCAACTCGACGCTTCTGATTGGTCATACGCTCTTTCTAGGGATCTTTCAATCGACAAATCATATTTCACCTAATTTCGTGCTTGTCACAAAAGTATCACCTCAATCAATCAGATTCCATCACATTTAATTCCCACGCAGCTTATTTGCATCCGCGTTGTTTCGAATTTTTGAGAGACCGACACTGCCGTTCAATGTTAGAACTTCAGTGTGTCAGTTTTTGTCGGGAAGAGTGGATAACACAATAACAACTGATCCATAGTGGGTAATTTAAGTTTCCGGAGGTCGGTAAGTTACCAAGGTCGATTAATATCCAAAAATCGGTAAATTACCAAGGTCGATAAAATTTCAGATGTTGGTAAATTACCAGAGTCGATAAGTTTCCGGGGACGGTAAGTTTATTTATTCTGCATCGCGGAGGCAAAGTGCGGTTCCAGGATTCCAATTTTGGACTAGATTCAACTAAGGATGATACTTCATATTTACTTACATATGAACTACTGTATTCTCGAAGCAATAGATGTCAATAGGTTTGATCTGCGTTTGATTGCGAAGGTCTGAATACCTCGTGTAATCTCAGAAATCTGAAGTAACTTAGCATCAAGAATTGTAAAAATACCGACCACTTGGACGAAATATCAGGAGAGCTTCCGGAGTTATTTGACATCTCAGGCTGTGAGAAAATCACTGAGAGAAAATTGGAGGCACTGTAGAATGTTCAATCAGAAGAAATTGATTGTTACAAAACACAACAAATCGTGTGAGCTAACTTGTGTGACGTTAGAAGATTGTATGCCTGGCTTGACTTGTGAGAATCCTTGGAAATATCAAATGAGTAATGTTAATTGAGAGTCACCTTTAGTAGGATTACAGTTTGTAGTAAACGTTCCCACAGAAATATTCACCTGTATTTATATGTATTACACACTATTTGAATAATTTCTCGCGACGATAAATGGAAGAACAAAGATACCGAACGACTAATCTTAAGTTCTTAATATTGCATTAGCGGCCGTAATCATTACGTGTATAATTATGATGTGATATAACATCGCAATTACACATGTAAATTCACCACGATCTCAGGCAGAACAGAAAGTAAAGATAACATGGGAATGGCGTCGAAATAATGAAAAAATGATCGAAGAATGAGTATTACAACCATTATCTCGTTTTCATTTTGATATTATTTTGACGGCACTGTTATTCTCTTGTTCTGGGATGAGAAGATCGTGAATACGATATGAAAGTATTCAGGAAGCCGAATCTAGTCGATCGAAGAGTCGATCACTTCCGTCAGCGCAACCGAATTCACACACATTTATCGTAATCCACATGGTAAATTATTGTCTTTTCGTTAAATCCGCTTTAGATCAATTTAAAGTGCACAGCAAGATTTAGGATATTATATTTCATACCGGGACAAGGTTCTGAAGAAACTATCGACCCGCGATAACGTTTCGGATAATGATCGGCTGGCCGGGCCAGTTACTATCGACATTACCGACTTCGTTTTCTTCTACGTCATTTTTTTTTAAGATCTCACGAGTAATGTCATCTGAATAGATTTCATCGTAGACATTAATATCGATCGTCAACACGCACGAGAAAATTCCGTTTATCTCGAGATCTACAGAATGCAACTTTGTTTCTTAAATTTTACCGCTCTTTTCACTTCGACTCTTAATAATAACGTTCCGTTTATCGTACCTCGAGCAGACCCTGATTGCTCGGCATAAATTCAGGAACAGTACGATAGATTCAACATACCGAAGACATGCAGAGGCGCCATCTGTTGCGGCCTCCGCGTATTAATACGTCGGTACTGACAAACCTTTTTCACGATGGCCGGATTTGAATTCTCCGCTGCTGCGACCCAACGAAGACGCTGCGCTGTGTTGACATTCCCGATGACGGCCCTCACGTGAGATAATCCTTTTCGGTGAAGAACATGATGAACGTACGACACTTGCCCGACACTCCCGACCGACGCACTTTCCGCGCTTGTTTATTTACCGCGACGACACTCGCCGCGCGAGACGAGACGAGGCCCACATTCGACGTTCTCATCGGACGCGATAATTCGCACAGGAAGCTCGCACTTTCGACCCGAAAACGACGAGAAACACGAGACGAGCGGTTGGCGTCGCGCCTCTCGCGATAGCCATCTTTTAACTGACCACTCGTAACGAACAGAATACGATTCTCGAAGTACGAATATGAGCGAACTTCACTCGATACCTCCGACCAGTGGTTCCGCGAAACACTTGATTTTGGCAGTATTTTCGACGGTATCTCGCTACGACAAGTACGCGTGACTTAATTCCTGCATCTGCGACGGCATTTCGCATGAAAAATCTTCCCTCCGGAGGGTCGGAAAATCAGCGGGTTGAACTTTCGATCGCCATAACGGCCTGATCGCGACATTGTTCGATTGACACACTTCGTCCCGCGATTTCGGGCATTTACCGACTTCTACGGACTGTTTTACTACGATACGTTCCTACGACAAATGTACGTACCTTGCATTCGGCACTTTTAGCGGTGGTAATTGATTTCCAGACCGGCTAAAATCGCGCGAAACACAGGACGTGCTTTCGAACGCCGTTCCCGTCGCGATCGTCCCGGCATAACTGACCGACGTAACTGACGTTTGCGGTAATTGCGATGTATCGAAGTATCGAAGCATCCGATGTTTGACAGCCAATCACGGTTCGTTCACATATTTATTGAAATGTAACGCCCTTGACGCAAAATAAATTTCTAAATGATGTCTAGAAAAGACGTTTATTTCTTTTTTTTTAGATATCTTTCAAACAACTTTAGAAAGTTTTTTAGAAATTTCTTCCGCCTAGGATAATCCAAAATGTATGGAAGATGACTCGAGACGATTCCAACGCTTGAAAATAAAAAAAAAAAAATAAATCTTGTTATACATAAGAAATATGTAGTTGGCACGCGTCTAAAGTGGGCTTTATTTATGCAACATTGAGCGACCAAACAGGAATGTCGATCTTAGTGCATTTCATTTCGAAGATATTTAGTTTTACAAGGAAATAAGTTATATATATATGACTGTTCAAACATCAATATATATATAAAACGTTTATAATATTAGAATACCCGCGATTAGAATTGTGTTCTCCGAGATATGTATACATCGTTGCAATATATAATTTAGGTCAAAATATTTTCTTTTCCTTATGCATTTAGAATACAATAAACGTCATTGATGCTTTTAGCTAGGCAAAGTTCTTACGATGATGTGTCTCGTACGTCTAATGTCCGTTTTCAATCAACGTTGATAAACCTTAAAATGAAGCCTTTAAATTCTCCTCGGACAAAGACTTAGATTCGGGTTAAAACTTTAATTAACGTTGATAAAAACGGACACAAATCGTTAACGTTTCTCTCTGTATGTACTTAGTACTTTGGAATTTCAAAGAATAGATACAATTTGTCTACACGTGTTTTATTACGTGAGACATAATAAAATTTCACTTCGTTTCCGCCAATACGATACATATGTCAGATACACAAAAAAAATGTCTTAGAATAACAACAACTTCTTCCATTTACACATGAACATTATGTGTGTGTACAAAAAATTAATACGATTATATGTATGCGTATAAAATCGTTGCAAAACGCGACATAAGCACTGGATAAAGAAGACAAGGTTCCACTTGAGATAAATATGTTTGGCTGAGAAAACATGCATAAAATATATGTGTGTATACATTTTCCTTGATAAAAATATACGATTTTCACTGTAAATCTATCTAAGTTTACTTAAAATTGCGCTTATTCCCAAAACACCCATTATTTCGGTATAGGTGGAGTCATGCAATACTCCGAGATTGTCGATAGAGTTTGCTTTGATTCCAGCTGTTGCACCTGGCAACAACGAGATTATACGAACGATTTCTAGCGTTAGCTAATCTTTCTGTCATGCGTAATTTAAATTCTTACACGTTGCCGCAACGTTTTTTCGTTGATGGCTACACGAGTCAGCAGCTGTTTCACTTTTTCCAGAAGCTTGTGGATTAGCTGTTGCCTCAAAATTCTCAAGTCTCCGTTATCATCTTCTTTCTGAGCTTCTTCTAACATAACTATTCTCTGTTCAGCCAGTCGCAAAAACATTTTCTCTTACAAAAGATAAACACATGTGTCACTCCATAGTCTTCTTAAGATGAAGAACTGTCGTATCATGTGGTAGAAGCCATGGTGAAATAAAAATTATATTATTAGGGCGATTGATCAATTCAAATAGACCAAGATATATTTCATAAAATGATAAATTATTATAAAGATCATTACCACTATTGCAAGTTTTGGCAATTCTCCATGATTTAAGAATAAAGTTGGAATTTGTCCTTGTGCAAATGCAATTTGTGATGTCAAAGTTCTTTTATCATAACAACTGAGAATAATCCAAAACGAAGTGCATCAATAACATTGTCAATTGCTACCTTAGTCAGCCCTAACAATTCTTGATGAATAAGTTGTGCCTAGTTCCAGACATTGCTTTATCAGGATACAATTCTTGTCAAGTATGTCTTAATACATCTTTTAATTATGAGTTTTCTGCAATATTAGACGGTATACGACGCTTATATATTTATCTCTGTCTCCCAGGTAAAACATTTGAGGTATGTTAACAAAGTTATTCACTGTCTTTTAAGAGGTTATCTTTTGTTAAAATATTGCCGTATTACACGTGTCTAGTTTACAGCCAGTTTTGTATTTTTCACGATATCCGCGAAGCAGCTACACTCTCACACAGCGTCTGTAACAAATGAGGAAGCTCAAGAAATGTCAACATGAGAGAGCGACACTGCCGTTCAATGTTAGAACTTCTATGTGTCAGTCTTTGTCGGTAAGAAAGGATAACACAATAACAACTGATCAACAGTGGATAAGTTAAATTTCTTGAGGTCGATAAGTTTTCGAGAATTGGTAATTTACCAGAGTCGATAAGTTTCTGAAGCCGGTAAATTACCGTCTCCCGAACATTTATCGACACCCGGTAACTTACCGATCTCAAGCAATTTAACTTACCCACTATTGATCAGTTGTTATTGTGTTATCCACTCTTATCGACGAGAACTGACACATTGAAGTTCTAACATTGAACGACAGTGTCGCTCTCATATTGACAATTCTGGAGATTCCTTATTAGTAATGTTTGCTCTGTCTGAGATTGTAACTGCGAAAATCATGAGAAAATATAAAACTGTCTCCAAAATAGACACATCAATGTATTAACATAATGTAACATCTTAAGAAACATTCAATATCTACGTTATCTCACCCGAACATTATAATTCCATATAATATGAACATTGATTAGTACTGACAGTTTCTTTTTTTTTTTTGCAAAAACCGTGTCAAGATATTCGTACTTCTAGGGCAAAGAGAGCACACACTGAATATTTCTAAACGGCTAGTGTCTAGTGATGTACACGCAGTTTGTATTCCCGAAAGCCTTCGCTACGAACGCAACGCTACTTCAGAAGGAAGTAGCGTTTGTAGCACGCAGTTTTGACGTAGCACACTGCTACAAGTGACATCATGATTGCGTTAGGTAGGATCACCCTCTAACGAATAGCCTTTAGCGTTAAGTAGCGCCTATTGCATCTTCCTGAACACGCCCATAGTGGCTGTGTTCCCAAATCACTGTCAGCGTTAAAAATCACAAGCCAGCGGCACGTGATACTTGTTTTCGCGCTCGATTGTTTGTTGGATGGAAATACCGCGTTTTAATTGATGTATTGTCACCCATTTTTGTAAATGTACCAATCAGCACGCAGTATTTCTATCCAATAAGCATCACAGCATGAAAACAAACGTCGTATGCCGCTGACTTTGATCCGAGCAGCATTTTAGTATTCGCTACAGTATTGCAAACTATAGTATATCTGTCGTGAACTATAGATTGTTGTATTGCAAAAAATTTATCAGAACACAGCCCGAGTCGTGTCGAATCAGCAAATCGAAAACGCCATTAGTTTATGTCACATACACTAGAGACTTTTAGCACTGGTGGTGAATATTAGAACGCAGCCATTAGAGGAAAAAAAATGGCACATATATCGATTACAAAGGTACATATATCGTCACATCAATAAACTCTCTTCGTTCTACGTAATGATTCCATTTTGGCTACTCTGAGCCTCAATCGACATGAGTTTATACGAGGATTTGGCAAATTCAACAAGGCTATCGTATTTGTCGATAGTAAAAATTTTCCTGGATTTTCGAACACATAACCTATTGTCGGATCGCTTTTGAATTGTGTCATCATCCTGAGTTGTTTGTTGACTCATCGTACACACTCGTAGCACATTCCAAAGAGATTTCATCTCACTATAATACGAAGCGATTAGCGAAAGAAAGTCACAATGATCGCGTATCTATTATTCTTCTTCGGTGTTTACTTCACGTGTGCCCAGAAGTATGAAGGTTGTTTCCGCAGCTCTGTATCGGACCCCGATTTACCTTCTCCGATATTTGGATATCCGAGTGCACCCTTCGACTGTGTCCGAAAATGTCGTTCTTTGTATTACATGTAAGATATCTCCGATATATTCAAACATGTACGGCTTGGATGGTTTTCTGTGAGAAAACTTTTTGTTCAACAGGTTTGCAGGATTAATGAATGGGCAACAGTGCTACTGCATCAGCAAATTCGGCAGAAACGGTCCATCAAACAGCTGCAAAACTTCATGCGTCACTGACCCTACTAATTACTGCGGCAGTTCCGAAGCGATGAGTGTCTATTCTACTGGTCAGCAAGGTAAAATTCATTTTGTTGATAATCGAGTATAATGATATCAGAGATAAATGCAGATGTAGAAAAGTTTGAGACGTATTACTGTCGTATCACAGACAATTGTTAGTGTGCAATATTGTCGTATGACAAATATTTTCTTTTCTTCGGCGCAATATGTAACTTTTTCAAATATTCAAAGAAATCTGTAGCTTGAAATCATACATTTTCCATGAATAATCGTCAATATAATATTAGCACATATATCTAAGAACACTTACCAATTAAGACGAAATATACAACTGTTAAAAAGAGTACATATATTTTTGTCAACACATGTTTACACAAAGAGGACATTGAAAACATATTTTTGGAAAATAACAGGTGGCTCGTGTAACAATTAGATGTAAGATGTAAAACTATAAGATAAATAATTACTTTAAAAGTGAAAATAAAATGCCTCTCGACACTGCCGCGTCTCGGCACATAACGCTCTAATTGCAACGTGAGATTGCGAGCAAATGCCATTTTCTGTACAATCTATAAGATTTGAACATGCCATACACATTTCCAAATAATTACTATTTTATATCTTAATCTCGCTATTATCCGATACTAACAGTATTAACAAAAGCTAATATTTTATATTTAACGATATACATACGAGGAGAAAAAAAATGATTAAATCTTTACGGCTTATATCGCACTTTCATAAAATAGAATAGTCATTTACAGGAATAAACGCTGCGTCATTTTAATACCTGCGAGTGATCTAAACCCAATGTTTCTCATGAGTATAACTATCGATAGTTTCGAGCAATGATTCAAGCACAAATGCTTCATATTACAACCCTGGTTTATATATACACTGTCCTTTCCTCCTTATATGGTACAGCATATAAAGAAGATTGGATACTGATAATCGATGAAATAATAGAACTCCTCCTAGCTTTTTTCTGCGAATTGAAATCTGTGTGTCATAGTTTTATTTTCTACATGTAATATAGTGTACATATGTGTGTATAAGCAGACACACATATATATGCAGGATGACCTATTTAAAGATACAAGTCCTTGTTGGCGTCTGAAGTGAGAAAACGCAAGCTAAAATTTTATACTTTCAAATAAAAAGATGTATCCACAGAGTGACATTTATGATTGATTCAGCAAACTTGTAAAATTTGCTGCCAAACACTTATTCAAACAATCAATGAGCAGTCGTAAAATAAACATTGACGAAATTTTGAAGAAAAAGAAAGAGTTGTAGAATGAATTTTGCGACTATTTATCTTATTGTTATATTGAAGTGAGACGCTGTATGCACGTCTATGCACATCTTCCAGGGCCAAGTCCACCGAGGAGGATACACGTCACTCGCGATGGTATAGAGGCTCTTGCAGTAACGTGGGAGCCACCTGATATTCCCAATGGCAATGTTACTTTCTATACTCTTCGTGCTGTCGCCGTCGAGACACACGCGAGTAACATCTTACCGCCTGTCGAAAGTCAGGTTCAAGGAGGAGCATCGAACAATACAATTCTAAGAGGTCTCCAACCTGGCACCAAATACAACATATCGGTTACCGCCAGCAATGTACAGGGACTCAGTGATGCGACATACACCGTGGCTTGGACTGCGATAGGTCCACCTGACAAACCAGCCGTGCCTGAAATTATAGAACACGGTAGTAGCACCATTACGATCGTGCTCACTGAGGGTCACAGTGAGTACGGGCCGATTAGCGCGTATCAAGTGGTGGTTGTTCAAGCTGGCGCTATATCGCCTGTCGGCTCCGACGTCGAGTATTTAAGCTACAATAACGCATTGCAGCAGGGTCAAAATTATTACGTTACCGCACAGTTCGATCCATCGGACTTTCACATGTACAAGAGATTCACCGTAGGCGACGGAAAACTCATCGGAGGCTATTACAACGCTCCGTTAAAGGACGTCGTCTCCGCGCAAATCGGACTGTCCGTGATTTCGCGAGTGCGAGCGGAAATACAGCGTTCTTATTCCGATTTAACCGGTAACGCGTTCACCGGGAAAAATACGCGGCACGTGGACGCTCAAATGGACTCGACCGCTCTCGTCCTTTGCATAGCGATCACACTCGTGACTATATTGCTCGCCGCCTCGATACTACTGTATTTCGTATTACGACGCCGGCACGAGAGATTCCACATGCGGAAGTCGCCGGAACAGCAGGAACTCACGTTGCAGGGACCAGTGCACGAGGTGGATAACATGGGTTATATACCAGACGATATTCCCGAAAGAGTGAATCACTATCAGGAACTGAAGAAGAAAGTGTGGAATATACCGCGAAACGCTCTGTCCATCGATAATCTGTCCACCGTACGTAGAGGACGATTCGGTACCGTTCACACGGGGACCATCTTCGGGAAAGACGACATATCTCGCCCGGTAACTGTCCACACCATAGCCGATGGCGCGTTAAGAGGATCCGAGAAGAGGCATATGTTGCGAGAACTGGACGTATGTATCCGAGCGGGTACCATGAAGTATCTCGCTGGCCTTGTAGGAACCTGCGAAACTTCCGACACACTCTACGTCGTACACGAATTACCGCCGCGTATCTTGAAAAATTGCTTGTTGGACGCGCGATCCAGCACGGATTCATTCCCGGTGGATCGAATATTAACCATCTCGTCCTCGATTGCAACCGCTTTACAATATCTGGCGAGTCACAAAGTCATACACACTCACCTGTGCGCGCGAAGCGTGGGTCTATCCAACGATTGGACACCCAAACTCATGGGTCATGGTATCGCCAAGTATAGTTTAGAAGACATCAAGTACGCCAGATGGACGGCGATCGAGTGTTTCGACAACCGGAAGAAACACCAGTCGGGCGTGATCTGGGCATTCGGAGTACTTTTATGGGAGATGTTCAGTATGGGCGGTACACCGTATTCAAATTTCACGCTCGACAGCGAAGTAGAGGACGCAATTACGCGAGGTATTCGATTATCGCAATTGTCGGATATCCCGGATCCAATCTACGAAGTCATGTCATCCTGCTGGCGGAATGATCCTGAAGAGCGACCAACGTTTGATGAACTCACGCGATTGGTAAGAAAAAAAAAATCTTGCGTTGTTCCCAACACGTCTATGGATATTATTCATTTAACACACACTCTCTCTCTCTCTCTCTCTCTCTCTCTCTCTCTCTCTCTCTCTCTCTCTCTCTCTCTCTCTCTCTGCATTAAATAAAACGCATCGTGATTTACTCAGCTCGCCGTTGAGAAAACGATTGATATCATTAATCACTCTACATTTTATTATTGTTCCGTAATTTACAACGATCTCACTAACGTTCTATGCACGAGATTACAAGGGATTTTTCATCTCATACATTCGCTTTTTTTTTTTTAACTTAAAATATGATAATCATCTCTCGCACTATCGGGTTAGCTTTTCGTTAAAAACAGACTCCTTTGAGACGTTTTTCAAACGCTGTCGAACCCGCGAGCCTTTTTATTTGTTTTCACTACTCTCGCCGTCGACACACGACGCTTTTATCCTCCCGACTAATAGTTGCAATAGTTGCAATGTTTTCGCAACTCTTTCGCAGGCAATTATTGACTCATCATCGTTGAACTTTTTCTGTCACTCTCTGTCTATCGCTACTTATTGAGCATGAAAGAACGGTCGATTCGAGATGTTTTCCTTCCATTCTTTCTACTTTTTGTTCTTTCTTTCTTACTTTTTTCTCCATTTTCTTCTTTTTCCTTTTAATTTCTTTCCCATCTCTTTATTCTTTTTAATCTTCTTTTTTGTTACGCGTTCCTCACATTATTATTCTTGTCATTATCATCGTCGTCGCTTGTATCATTGTCAACATCACCATTCTCATCATTCTTATCTCGTGTCACAGCATTACCCTAACTATATAATTATGTTTTTACTTATCAGCTATGCACAATACTCAGCTATCAATGGCTTTTCATACATGTTGCAATTTGCTGTATGTCAAATGGATTTTACTTCAAACTATATAATAATCTCTCTCTTTATATGCTGACTTGAAAAAAAAAAAGAAATTGCTATTCAATTAATATGTCACATGCATTCTTTTACTCGCAGGATACTTTGAGTATTTGTCCCATCACTGCAATCACAGAACCGTATGTACCGGAATTGGAGTTGAATTAGCATTCTTAACGTATCTTTACGTATATTTTAAGTACATTCGCATTCGATGACGCGAGGCCTCGATTTCCAAAATAATGTAAATATCGTACAATGTTCGCTCATAGACTTAACGAATAATATGCATTTATCGTTACCAATGTACACATATTTTTAGTAACATATCTACGTATTGACAACTTTAGTTTTCATTAGAGCGTAAGTTAATGTAAAATAACACTATAAAAGTGTCGACGCGGTTTCCGTCCATTCTTAGCAAGTAGCTGAAGCGAAGGAGATTAACGTAGTCAAGTGAAAAAGTTAAGGAAAAGTCATAAAACGCGCGCGCTTGATAAAATAAGCCTTTTTATTTTTGATATTTTTATATCGCATTTTTTCCTCCTTTCTTTAATTGACTCAGGCTGACCTGATTTTATCGATTTACCGATTAAGAAAAAGAGACGAATTTCTCCCCAATCAATTATATGCCGATATATTTTTACCTGAGAAATGTGTATTTAAAGAAATTTATTTATATTTCAAATTTATTTGTAAATTAGTGTGAGAGTATCCAAAGTATATCATCGTGGCAGGACTTCCACTTTTTTCAACATTATACTTGGACACATATGTATCATAACTGTCGAGTGATACTCACACACACATTTCAAGTACAAATATATTATCAATATTCATATATGTAATTGTGTATATAACTTTGCGTGAACAGCGGAAATTGATTATAATTATGTTGTGAAGATGTGATTATTTCAAGTACTTAACGTGATCTAATGAATCTCTTATTCGCGCGCATGATTCGTGTCGCGCGCAAATCATTCAAGCTATTATGCTAACATTTTATATATCTGCCTAATTATTTTTTACTGAAAATACGTCCTTTTCCTTTGGTAGAAAGTTACATGTATACTTTGTACGTTATACAAAAGTGTCGTTGTATTGTAACAAAAATCGAAAAAATCTCTGAGCAGAAAATACATTTTTATACGCACTCTTCTACTTTACTACTCTTTATATTTTTCATACCTGACGAATACTTGACTTGATCGAAAGATCGTTAATTTCTTCACGCGATTCGGTTTATAAAATCGAAATCATGTCACACAAAATCTGACATCTTTCAAGAGCTTCGGAGAGTCTCGCGGAATTTTATATGTACGGTTATATGTTGCGCGATAAAGAACCGTGTTACGCCATTTAACTTCATAATGTACCTATAAAGAATAATTGTTCACACACTACCGAAGATGAGCTCGTTGTTAATAAGATCTCGTCCTGATTCAAAAGGTGCGTCACTCGTTATTTATTAGAAAGTTATTAGAAAAATAAATTTCATAAATAGGGCGTACATTTTAGACACTGTATACATTCAGAAGTAATCAAAGCTGTTTTAACACCTTGAAAGAGAGGGAGAGCGAAGACTCTCATTCCGCGATTTCTTTTGCAGTGAGAAAATTCCAAGTCAGACAGGACTGGAGCGCCGATGACGGAGGGCTGCCGAATAATTTCAAATCCTTGCGGGACCTTAATGAATGTATTTTTCATCTAAAATAGACTCGTCAATTTTAGTTCGGGCTTTAAAGATTACAAATTTAGAGTTAAACTCTTATCAATAACTTAGATTACAAATTTAGAGTTAAACTCTTCTCTCTTAAACTCTATCAATAACAAAAGATTTATAGTTAAACTTTTTTATCAATAACTTTATGATAAAGAATGAGCCGAAGTCTTTTGAATGCAACAAGACCTTGATAACATATCCCATCGCTTCGTGTGAACAATTACTCTAGAAAGAATAACGAACGATATTACCGAGAGTTAATTGCTTTGAGGAAAAACAATTGTCCGGCAACAGCCTGCGGTGTCTTACGTCGTATGCGGTGATGAAACTTTGCTCGAATGGGAATGCGCCGGCTTCGTGGGGCCGACTGTAAGAGTTCTACTCGAAGCAGGGCACAGTACCTGCTTGTACGCTTCTCTGTACAGTTTATTGGTACCGGCGTAAATGAACGGGTTTATCACCGCGGACGCCCAAGCGAGCACCGACGCTACGATATGAAGCCCCGGGATTTGCATTTTGTCGTCGATCACATTCATCAACATCAGCGGCATGAAGCTGATCAGGAAGCAGATGAAGATAGTGAGCATCAGTCTGGTTACTCTAGAGTCCTCCCTGCGTTGGAAACCGCCGCAGCTCCGTTGTCGCTCCTTCGCGTGCGCCTCGAGATTCTTCCGACTTCTTCGGACGCGCCAGTATATGCAGAGGTACGAAACACTGATCACCACGCACGGTAACAAGAAGCCCAGAACAAATAGAAACTTCTTCGGACTGGAACCATTTTTTTTCAATATCGTGCAGGAAAAGCTGGCCGAGTCTAGTCCCAAGGTACCCCAAATTCCTAACAACGGCGGCAGCAGCAGCGAGAAGCTCAGCGTCCATATCGCTATTAACATCCACATTATGCCGCGATTGGTGTATAAACGAGCGTACATGTCCGACCGTGAGATCAGTACGTATCTGCAAAGAGATGAGCCTTAACCGTGTTCATTATGAGATACCCGCTTTAAGGTAAACTTTCATACCAACTTGTAAAAACGTATCGAGAAACAAAATTTATTTCAAATATATAATCTTTTAGAAATCGTATCGATCTGTATACTCTTTTCAGCAGGGAAAAATGATTATTTTTCTTATGATATGACACAAACTTTTCTCACTTATTGTAGCAGATTTTTTAGGGAATTCACCTATTGATAGTAATGGCCACCATGCTCAGTAAAGATACAGCGACATTTCCATAAAAAAATAAGGGGAATATTTTACATAAGGTCTCGCCTAGAACCCATGCTTCGTTCAAATATCTGCTGGCGGTTAAAGGCAAGTTAATCGCTGAGAAAATCAAATCGGAGATGCTGAGGTTTATAACGAATGCTGTGGTGGCATGCCGCCTTAATCTTGTATATCTTAATAATGCTATTACTGTCACTAAATTTCCTGGAATTCAGATACATGTATATATATATATATATATATGTGTGTGTGCTTATACTGAAATTTCGCACTAGTGACGCAAATAGGAAAATCAAAATATTACCTAGCACTCCAATTATGCTGAATATTATAGCGCAAATGGCAGCAGCGATTGTTACGAACCGTGCATACGGCTTGAAATATCCATCATCCGAGGTAATTTCAAGGATCGTATCGTTCGCCACGATATGCCCCATCGTTTAGCAAGCGTGAGACAAGCGGTTCCTCATTCTTCGAGAGTCTCTCCAAAGTCACTGCGTGGCTCGCGTGCTATTGGAAATGAAAAGAGAAAGATTAAAGAATCACATGAAACAAAAAAGAAAACAGCTAACAGCAACACTTTTCCTTTTTTCTCATACGTGGTGTAAGCGAGAAGAAAGTTATTTCTTTGAAAAATTTATAAAATAACTCTGTTTTTTCAGTGATAATTTAAAAAAGGTATGTATAATTTTGCGACAAATTTTTTTTTAATTATTCGCAATTCATTTATTTTTGCGAAGGAATTGCGACGAACGCGGTCCAATGACCTTTACGTTGTACGCAATTAAGCGATTGATTAGCGTTCTCATTTATTCGCGATCTCTTCTCGTTACTTCTCTTCATTCATTAGTCTCTATCTATCTCGTCGGTTCTCTCTCTCTCTCTCTCTCTCTCTCTTTCGCTCGTTCAATTTTCTCGCAACAGCGATCATGAGAAACGTCGAGGGCCTAGAAACAGAGGAAGAGAGAGAGAGAGAGAGAGAGAGAAGCAGCGCGCGCGAGAAAACGCATCCCTCAAGATGTATTTTCAGAGGCTCTTTATCGGACAAGTTGATTCATTATTTATATCTCTCTCCTCGCTGTTTGCATCCCTATTAAAAAAAAAACACACACACACACACACATCGTTAGTCATGCCGATAAATTTTTGTGACCTTCCCGGAATATTGATCTCTGTCAACCGAACTTCGGACTGAAAGAGCTGACTGACTGAATCGAAGCGTGCCGTGTATTATGGTTATTGTTGGTACCGCGAAAGATACCGATCGGATATTACGATGTTTCGTGTTCTATCGCATTCAACTGGTGTGTTTACCCTTTAAACAATTAACTTCCTTCTTCTTCGATGTAAATATCTTTATTCGTCGATCTAAGACTTTTTCTTCCTTCCTCTCGATAATGAAACATATGCACAGTTACGCGATATTTATATATATTCTCGCATCTCTTCTACGTTAACGTTCGTTCCTTCTCTTTCTCACACAACAAGTTGTCTGAGCGCCGTTGCCGCTGACTTATCTTCTTCAACTTATCCGATGATCGAGAAATCACTTTTCCTCGCGTTAATCACGTTAATCCTGCTTATCTTCTTCCACTCGATGTTTCAATCTTATAATGAGGATCGTAATTAAGTAAATAAGTATACTACACTACGATTCCGTGCGACACTCCCGTACAGCTCCCGTAAGTTATTCCGGCAGACGCTCGGCCGCGGACTGACGAACTCCGCGCTGACGCGTGTACCCTTTACGAATACTCCGAGTCTCCTTATCTAACTCATTCGATTCCACACCGTTCCCCTACTTCTTCCTACTCGTCTTCTCGTACTTCTTCCGTTTGCTTCCGCTCTTTGCGCCTAGTTTTGCGCTCCGACGCCGTTTCCATTCCAACATATGTCCACGTGCCGAGAAGACGGATTTCTTTTCCTCGCACTGATCACGCCTGCGAGATATTTTAATGCGCTGCACCTAAAGTGCGATGCGCGGTTGCTCCTGAAATAGCGGAAAGGGGATACCAAGTTGCAATGATGCGCATACATTCTGTGTGATCACATCTTTGTGTACAATCATTTGACCGAATTGGTGGACATTTGTTACGCTCAGTTTCGATGCTTCTGGTTATTTGTTATGCCTGATCTTTGAGAATTCGACCAACTTCTCCTCCTCATTTTATCTTTTCGTACATTTTACAATAGACGATAGAAAGAAATCCCGTTAGTGTATCTTATATTTAAGAAGAAATAAACATGCAGATAGTCTCGTGTAAGGAAAAGAGAGAGAGAGAGAGAGAGAGAGAGAGAGAGAGAAAGAATTTGTCGTCGAAATATCAAACGGTGCCTTTCGATTTAGAAAGAAAGATTTTTCTCGCGATTATCGCGCCTCTACTCCCCGAGCACTAATTGGTTGGCTACCTCCGTTGGCCAAAGGGTCGAACAAAATATTTTATTCAATAATTCGATAATTATATATAGAATTATATATATATAATTTAAGCTAACACACAATATAATTGAGAACAACCCCAAAGAATGTCTCGTCTTTATTATTAAATTGTCCTCTTGCTTAAATTAAAATTTACAAGCGAAGAAATAGTCATTCTTAAGCAACAATATACCGCGTATCTTGAAGCGTGTGTCGATGCACAATTCCGATTAAAATAACTTAATGTCGTGCAACAATTCCCGTTCCCAACATCTCTCCTTCCCATGGCAAACGTGTTTGTCGATGAGATCGCACGTCTCGTTTGAAACCAAGCCGGCACTAAACAGGCGTATTAAAAGCACACACATAGAAGATACAACGCTGTTGTGTTTACACACACCGAGGTAATGCACACCGAGTGCGCACTTGTTTATTTTCGAATTACCTTCGCGAATAGTCGTTATATGAGGATAGATATAACTGCCGCGCCGCTCAGAAGACGATTATAAGGCGTGAGGTTTACTCACGGGACGGTTCTCGACGATTCCGAACGATCGGCAACCGCGAATGTGACTTACCTCCGTTGGGCAAGCTAGCAGCTGTCAACGGTTACAAAGAACCCTCCGAACAATCGGAAGGAGTGGCCCTCGACAAATAAACTCACCCTACCGCCTTCTTTCATCCCCTCTGTATGACAGTGCTGCAAGCGGTGCTGTGCCGGCTGTCGGGCTCCTCTGCGCTGATTAAAGGTAAGAGCTTTGGAGCCCCGTAGCACACGGGAAGAGGGGGAAGTGTCGCAAAGAAATGCGATACCACGACGAGTGAGATGATAGCGAGGATACTCTTCCGATTTTTGCTCGGCGGAACTGGAAAGACTATCGAAACAACTTGTGAAAATTTATCTCACGTACATGCGTGTAATTTTATTGAAAAAATATTTTTGTCCTCTCTGAAATTTCTAAAATTGACTTGTATGCGTCCGGTGAACGAAACTTGAATAATTTAGAAGCTGTCACGCGCATGTGGTGGATAAGTTTCGTGATTAGCCGCATGTAAAAATAACACGGGGGTAAATGTCGGAATAAAATTTCACTATAGAGTGTTTTAGAATACACTTCGTCGTTTTAAAAACATTTCATCGTTCGCAAATCGTATAAATATGGAATGAGATATCATATATTTACGTTACAACGCTGACTATTGATTATCTAATGTGTATTTTATAGTTTGCTGCAATTTTTTCCTTCCAGCTGCGAGATGATATTTGTCGGTCGAAAAAGGGGATATTTTCGCGTAATAAAGCATTCGTCGAATCGTTGAACGAGTTGAGGATATTTCGTGGAGAATAAAGGTGTTTGTTTTTTTTTTTCACACAAATTGCGCGAATGTAAAATAATTTTTTACATTCAAAGGGCCCGCATAATCATTGTGCACACAGTAGGTAGATCAACGTTGGTTATCGTATCTATCTTAAGAGGAGCGAGGAGCGACGCGCCTTCGGTTGGACTTACGTGTCGCTGGGAACTCAGGTTTAAAAGCTATTACGCGGCGATGGCGGGCTTCATATAAGATTCACCCGCGAGAACCAGGCTCGCAAGGGTATTATTTATTCCACCGCGTGTGCTCAGTCACCTTGATAATATCGCTCCGATTACCAGCCAACGCCGAGAAAATTCAAATGCTGATGAAACAGGCAATCGTCGGCAACATTTACAAGTGCCTTGGCGAATAATGTGTATGTGTTTGCGTATCTTTAAACCCTCGAATATATATTCGTACAACGCGTATCGTAACAGACCGGACAATTACTTCAGCGCCGGAAATACCTCGTCCGCGAATGTCGTCTATCGTTCTCTCGAGAATTTCACATCACTCGCCTTGTTACATCCCTCTCTGACTAAGAAGATTCTTTTAAAAAAAGACAAACTTCTCTGTGTCTTCCGCTCGGCATTGCCGCTTGGTAGAAAGAAATTTAAAAAGAAGATACAGCTGCCTGATATCGTTGCTGTTGATTCGTCATTGCGGTCAGGAACTGCCAGCCGGAATATAAAAAATGATTCCCGCGTGTTATACGACCGTGCAATTACGTTGCTTTTATAGAAAACAAGGAAAAAAGTCTTGTGGAGTGAAAAGAACAAAAAAAAGAACAAATAGCGAGCGCGCGAATTAGGAATGTTCTCACCTAATTGTTGCGGTCTAAATGTTCTTTTCTTTTTTTCCGAAAAACGCTCCTTTCAAATATTCATTTCCTCGGGAAATATCAGAGGATTGAGGTTCGTTATATAATATAACGGACTACCAGGGCGTCTTTCCTCGTTCCATTTTTCTCGCTCCCATGTGGGAGAACCACTGATTCGCGTACTGAATGAACCCATTGTGCGCGGCCTGCTGAACGCCATTTGAATTCAACAGTGCGCTATTCACGAAATATCCGTGCGTGCGTAAGCTCTCTGAAAGGAAAAGGGCGACTTTAAGGAATGGACCGAAATGACTGATAAAACATTCCGCATGGAGCAAGACTAGCAAGAGTTCGCACGAAAGTTCCTCCTTACGGAGGAACGACATCGGGCGCGTACGACATTTGATGAGGGAAAATATAATCGCGCACATGGCTTCGACGTAACCAGAGACTCTACAATAATAAACGATAAAACCTATTTCGGGCCTCTGCGGAGAGACGCGGGCGTTGAGAAAGTATATTTTGATTGAAAAAATATACCGCCGCGCGTTACTTTATCATCGGTCGCTCGACAAGCGTCATTGTTCGATTAAGTTGAATAGCGGCGACGCCGTTGGCACATCCTATTATTTCATGAGAAACACGTAGCAAGTGAGAGGAAATAGAGATATCGCGACGTTTTCCTCCTGCGGTATCGCGCGCGATATCCGCGTAAAAACCTCGTATAGATAAGCGGTTAAGCTTTAAATCGCACACTTTTAATGCGCTGTACTAACTTGGATGCAATACGAGAAATTCGTATTTCAGCGCGATAGAATATGAAGAGTTAACTCACAGGCTCCATCCGTTCCTTCTTTCCATTTAGTAACTTCTCACATTTTTATTTTACTCCTCTAATACTACATATTAACTTGCGTGTGTACATTATTCTCGTAACATAATATTAAATATTATTGAATTCTTTTTGGCTTTATCATAGCATCATTCCCGCTTGTGTCGAGCGGAATTCTCAACGATACAATGTATGAAAAATCGATCGCAACGATAACATAAATAACGAATCTCTCTTTGACTCTTACGTTGTCAAACGATAATTACACGAATATATTGTTAGCCTTTCTCGGCATGTTATTTTGATGTGCGTGATACTCGGCCATTCTTATAGAGACAAGAATTCGAATTTGAAATGAGGAGAATTCCAAAGAAGGAAATAGCGAGAAAAATCGTGGAAGGTTCGCGATCTTATACGCCGCAGGTGACATTATATATTTACAAATACGCTGACTGTAACTATTCACAGACACTACGATAATCGAGAACGTCACTTGAAATTTACTTCGTTCATAGGTGAAATATGCGTGTCATATTTATGCGCGTTATCAGCGTTATTGTCGAATATCCAGTTAATCCGATTATCTATACATTAATATCTTAAACCTGTATTATAGTTATTTTAGAGTTATTTACATGTAATTTGTATCGTCTAGCGTTAATACTTTGCTACGCTGTTTCTCGTGACTTTAAGTACCGCGTGTCATAAAGTGATGCACATTTTAGCGGACAGAACAGTTTATATTCTTATAATAAAGATAAAAAATGTGTGAGAGCGCACTATGATATAAAAATTGCAAAAAGGATGAAAAATGACCTGGAAAAGACTCGCTGGCAGTATCGAACACCAAGAGAGAGATATATAAATCGTCCTTTCTCTCTCTCTCTTTCTTAACAACTACTAATGGGGCCCCACCATTTATGTCACTAATATAATTCTCCTCGCTTTTCGTGATACTTTCTAGAAAAGAAATGTGAAACGACACAATTTATATCAAGGCATTTTACTGTCTGAATATATCCCTTGAATATCTTCCAAGTATGAAAAATAAATCAACATTATTCAACACTTCTCGCCATCACTACCTTCCGTAAACTTGTTCAGTCGTTGATAAAATATTTTTATTTTTCAAAGATATTTTCCAGGTGATAATAATTATCCGCCTCACTCTGTGCTTCATACATGTTTCATTCTTCCGTTCCAAAATTGAAAACCGCAGCTATTGCACAATTACAAGGACCGACCTCACAAAGACGTAATATTTCTCGCATTAACGCGAGATACAACTCTAACTGGAAACGATCATTCGTCCGATCAAAATAAAAATGTGATCTATTCTACACATCGTAAGAATATTTCTGTGTCGAGCATAACGACGAAAGTCGTCGTGTGATGCATAAGGGATGCATTGGAAACGCGCGATCGGAACGGATGACGCTTGTTTTAAGCGGAACATTGTCTGTACAACTGCGAGTTTTTCTCGATCTCCTCCAAGTGTTTCTCCATCTCCATCGTCAGCGCGTCCACGTCTCTCATCAGGTCATTCAGCAGCCTCTCGTTGTCCCTGTACACGCTCTCCATGCCGTCCAAGTCCTTGAACTTGGTCGACGTATCCGCCGTCAGTTCGGAGGCTCGCTGCAAAAGCTTCTTCGCCCGCTGTATATCACCCTTGCTCTTGTTCACCCGCTGGTGCAACGACTCGTCCGCTCTTGCGTACTCCTCCGACAGCTTTCTCGTCTTGTCGTCGATCACTCGCGCCTCCTCGGCAACCTTTTTCGCCTCCACGCTGATCTCCTTCGTCAGCACAAAGTCATTTCTGACCGATTGCAGCTGCAGCTGCTTGAGACGAGTGTCCAAAGCCTCCACGGACTGGGTGGTGTTGTTCGCTTGAATCTGAGCAGCTCTCGTCACATCGGCGATGTCCACCAAGTCCTTTTGCGACTTGAGCACATCCGCCTCCGCCTTGTCGATGGCGGTCTGTGCCTTCTCTTGCGCTTCCTGCGCATCGTTCAACAGCAGAATCACCTTGCTGGCCAAGTCTTGCTTCTCAATAGCGGCTTCTTTCGCGCGATTGGCGCGTTGCTCGAGCTCGCGAGCCAGTTGAAGATCGTCCCTGGTGTCGGCGAGAATTCTCTCCGAATCGGTGAGTGAGCCGACGATACTCTTGATGCGATCGGCCAACCGCGTAATCTCGTCCGGCTCCAGCTGAATGTTCTTCTCGAGCACCTTGCTCGCGAGATCCCTCACCATAGACGGCGTAGGTTGCTCGTCGTTCATATTGTCCCAGATTCGATTGGTTATGTCCACGAGCTCCTTGGAAATGTTTTCGGAACGGTTGCGCGCGTCCCACGCGTAATTGAAGGCGTCTTGAGCGTTGGATCTCGCCGCTGTAGAGTCTTGCTTGATTTGACTCATCTGAAGGGGAAAGTTTTTTTCTTATAAATTAATATTGTACGCATTAAGTTGAAAGATGGTATTTTGAGAAATTTTCCTCGATATTTGTCAGAATGAAACGAAGAAGCGTGCCTGAAGGAAAAAGAGAACGTTTTACGTACGTTGCGCAACAATTGCTCGGCCTCGTCCTTGTGAGTTTTGATCCTGACAACCTGCTGCCTCGCCACGTCTAGAGCTTGATTGGTCTTGGTGATCGCGCCAGGGTCGCAGGACAGCCCGCCGCAGAAGCCGCAGCCCGCGCCACCGCAGACGGTGCTGCAATCCGTTACGTTGTGTCCGCACATGAGCTTGTTCAGTTCGGGTATAATCATACCGAACGTCCTCAGCTTCTCGTTCAGCTTTACCAACGATTCCTTGTTCCTCTCTTGGGCGTCATCGACGGTGACGCGGTTCTTCGCCAGGAGATTCTCAGTATGCTTGCGGAATCGCTCGGCATCGGCCAGAACGTTGCTGGTGTCGTTGGCCATTCTCTCAGCCTGCCTGGACTGCTCGGCCATCTGCTGAGTCACATTCAACGCGCCCTGCACGTTCTCCTCTTGCAGCCTGGTAGCGTTCTCCCTCAGTTCGGCGGCGGCCTCGTGCAAGCTGTTCGTTCGATTCTTCAGTCCTTTCAGCGCGACGTCCCCGAGATTAACTCTTTGACTGACGTTCTCCGAGAGGTTGTTGATGTTTTCCAGCTGCCGCTGCGCCGATTCGGTGATATTCTTCTCCAATTCCGCGGCCAAGACGTTCAAGGCGCCCAGGTCTTGCGCTCGGATGGTGGTGTTAGCGATCAGCGCCTTTACCTCGTTCAGCGACGTTTCCATGTCGTCGAATTCCTGACTGTAAACTCCGGACGTACCAACCTTCTGTATCCTCGAAGCCTCATCGATTACGGTGTTCGTCTTGTTTCTGAGACCACTCAGTATCAGATCCCAATTGTCGAAGCATTCGCCGCAGGGGCTACACTGAGGCGCGTCACCGTGATAGCCGCGGTCGCATTGGTCGCATTTCTCACCGCCGATACCCTTGTGACAAACGCACACTCCGGTATCCCTGTCGCACTGCTGACTGGCGGAGCCGATCACGTCGCACTCGCACGGGTAACACTCCACGTTCGGGTTACCCCAGAAGTTCGTTTGACACTCGTTGCACCGTCTACCGCCGAAGCCCGGCCTACACTCGCAAGTGCCGTCGTAAGGATTGCATCTGCGCAAACAATAACGACCTTTTCATATCTCGAATGATTGGACGGAAAGCACCCTCTATCCAACGAGCAGTATTGTCGAATGAATGAACAGAGAAAGAATTTGAGGTAAGATTTTCATCAACGACGCCAGTCTGATTCATCAAGATTTTCTTCACCGACAGTCAGAGAAACTCTTCCGTCCGCGATGAGAAACCTATGATGTACGCAGTACTGTGATTTTTCGTAAATTTCATCTGTGCAAACCTGTCTGACACGCTTCCAATCGTGTCGCACTCGCAAGGATCGCAGCCCTCTCCGCTAGCTATCCTCCAGTGATTCTCTTCGCAGGAATCGCAAAGCTGTCCGATGACATGCGGTAAGCATGGGCATTGTCCGGTGAGGTTGTCGCACGGCCCCACGGCCTTGTCGGTGCCCAACACATTGCAATTGCAATCTTGACAATCCTGTCGCAGGGCGTTGCCGTGAAAGCCGGCTTTGCAGATTTGGCAATTCGGACCGTCGGTGTTGTACAAGCACTGGAGGCAACGACCGGTGTGCGGATCGCAGTTGCCTGGCCGACGCAAATCTGTGTTGTTGCTGCACTCGCAGGGCTCGCAACTACCACCGGGTACTTCGGGATTGCCGAAATAATTCTCGGCACAGTGTTCGCATCGGGGCCCGGCATAACCCTCGAAACATTCGCAAATCACGTCCTGCGTTATCGAATCTAACGAGCAGCCGTCGGCGTACGAGTGGCCGGACTCGAGAGTGCCTGACAAAATAATAATAATGATGATAACGAAGCGATATTACTTGATTTCACAACTATTATTCTTTCTTATTCATTAACCCGAGAATGTTTTCTTTCTTCTCGTTTACTCGGTCTGGCCAACAGCGAATTATAACTACGTTAAATTAATTAATCTTACCGCTTTAATATCGTGATATTTGAATATGAGTAATGTCAAAACAACATCCTAAATTATCATCGATATCTCTTGAAGCTGTTCACTCGGCTTGCTTCTTCTAGCGTGGTTCCTCGCTAACTACGCGCGCTTTTACTCACCTTCGCGTTGAACGCATATTTGTCACATTCTGTAGATGTAATCCCCCCCCCCCCCCNTAAACCCCCCCCCCCCCCATGATTAAACTCTCTTTCTCTACTCTAATGCAACTCAAACAAGAGAAGAGTATATATACTACGATTGCAACTACAAATGCTAGGAACATGCGGCTTTCATCACACGCCATTGTCTTACCTGGACACGGACACGCCCTGCAGGGAATATCGACGCCGATTCGTGGATCGCCGTAAAAGGTATCGATACAACGGTCGCAATTGTGTCCGGTAGTGTAGTCTCTGCAATTGATGCAAGCGCCAGTCTTGGAGTCGCAACTGTCCGCATGTCCGTTGCACTCGCAACGTTGACAGTGCGGAAAGTTCCAAAAACCAGGTTCGCACTGGCCGCAGGTTCTGCCGTAAGTGTTACGACGACACTTGCAGCGGCCGGTCTCGACGTCGCAAAAGTTGTCGAGAGCACCGACCCCGTCGCAGTCGCAAGGGATGCAACCTTCGGGACCGAATCCGTATGTGCCCGGTGCGCAACGATCGCAACGTCTGCCAACCACGTTTGGCTTGCAGGGACACGTTCCACCGTAATTTTCACAGAGAAGACTGCGAGATCCCGTCGGATTACACTCGCAAGCTGAAATTCAATGTTGTGCACGAGTGAAATTGATTAAAAAAAAAAAATTACAAATAATCCGTTAAAGAGAAAAAAGTATACCACTTTGTGCGCGCGCAGAGCTGTGATTTATATCAGAGTTACTTACAATGAGCACCCTCGAAAACATAGTAGCCGATACTATTTTGATACTTTCGGCAAATCTCGGGTATATTGTTCCACATGACATTGACGTCGTTAAAAAAGTCGTTACAGTGGTAATGCTCGTATTCCTGGCGACGCAATTCACCCACGCCCGGTGTTTTGAAGAAGGGTATCACGTCTATCCTCGGTTTCAAAACAACCTACGATAACATGATAAAATGAGGAATTCTCACGTGACTCAGGTTTCCAAACGAAAAACATTCATCATTTTACTTATATATAATTATTAGCAATTATGAGATCATTGAATTCGTCGTTATTCGTATAGGTTGATAGTACACATTACCGAGTCGACCAGGATGGAAGCCGAAGGCGTGTCCGGTAGGCCGTTAAACTTGCGAAACTGCAGCACGAGATTGTATCTTTTTCCCGTTTCCAAGCATATAGAGGGTTGCGCCACGGCGCTTCTCGATCGTATCGGCAATTGGGCCCATAAGCGATCGTACTCGGGTGTCCAGTCGGCGCACGGACCGTTCGGATCCGGTGGACTGTCTCTCTCGAGGATGATTTGCACATCGTTCCAAACACCGTGATGCACCGGCTCGTATCGAACGATCACATCGTACCACATGGATCTGCGTATGTCGTCAATGGTGAAGTTCAATATCGAGTCCTCGAGGGCCTTCATGAAACCCGTGCCAGTCCACGTGCTGTTCTTGCCGTCGCGATAAGGCTCTCTGATTACCACTTGACAGTTCTGAAAGTAATTCATTTCTTTGTCGCCCAGTGAGTATTGTTTGTGTGTATTATTTGGAATAATTCGCACAAATTTCTTCTCGTTTTGTCCGAATTTTTGTCTTACGAACACAAATCTGCCCATCTCCTTGAAAGAGAGGATCCTTCCCCCCCCCCCTCTCTTTCTCTCCCTCTCTGTCGATTTCATATTCCGATGGCAGGAAACGAAACGTGCGCATATATCGCGGAAAAAACACGGTATTCTCTGCCTTGTTTCTACGACAGTTGTCTCTCTGCACTGCGTTAATTGGCTTTACTACTCACATCGCTAGCTCTGGATAACTCCCCTTCGTAGATGAGGAAATCGAGCGAGCCGGTGTAGTAACTCTGCTCCGGTTGATTGCACGTTCTCCCGCTGACGTGAGGTCTACATCTGCACTGACCGGTGACGACATCGCAGGAATCCTCGTAAGAGCCGCCGGGATCGCAGTCGCAGGGTTTGCATCCGTCGCGGTCCTCGGAGAGCCCCCAATAATTCGGCAGGCACTGGTTGCAATCGCGCGCGGTGACGTAACGTTTGCACGTGCATTCGCCGGTCACCATATCGCAGCCCTGATTGTCAACGGTGCCCAGAATGTTGCAGGTGCAGGCTACGCATAATTAAGGAAAGGGCAATGAGTTCGTCAAGCTCATCGTTCGATGATTAACTGCCATTACCTTGACATCCTTCGGGATTATCGGGATCAAAGTTCCAAAAGCCGTTCTTGCAACGGTCGCAAGGACGTCCCTCGACATTCGCTTTGCAATGGCAACGTCCGGACTCGTCGCCACTGAGAACGTCGGTTCTCGAGTCGCAAATCCCATCGTCCACGGATCCGCCCAGATTACAGTTGCACGCTGCACGGAGCAAAAGAATGTACTCTTTCTCGATTAATCTCTCATAATCTTTCGCAGGAAATCGGCGCAATATATATGACACATTAAAGCTTATCGCGAAAGCCTGAGAAAGGGAGGCTCAAGTGTGATCACTCACGTTGACAAGCTTCCGGATCGGAGATATCCTTCAAAATAACGTGATAAAAGAATGGCTTGCACTGTTCGCAATTCTGCCCTCGCGTATTGTGCTGGCAATCGTCGCAGACTCCGCCGGACACTCTTCCCGATCTGTCGTAGACCGCCTCGTCAAAGTGGCAAGACGTGGTGTGATTGTTGCAATTGCAACGTCTGCAGGCGTTCGTTTGCTTGCCAACTGCCGGCTTCCACGGCAGATCGTTGTAAAAGTCCTCGCATTTCTCGCAATTGAGGCCCTTGGTGTTGTGAGTACACTCGCATCTGCCGTGCACCATGTCCACCTCGTCGATGACTCCGGGCAACGGTAAACACCTGGACGCGTGTCCGTAGCAGGAACAGGAGCCACGTATCACCATGTCCTCGATGGCGTAATAATACTTTTCGCGAATTTCGGCACGATCGTCGAGCAAATCGTCACCCAGAGTGTGAAGTCTCGTCATGTTGATTCTAAGATTGGTTATCTTTAAAAGATTCTGCACTTCTTTCGAATACGGATTGACGATGTCTAAATTTCGCGGCAGCACTCTGAAACGTGAAAACGAGCTTGCTTCATTTCGGACTTTGCGTGTCTCATAGATCACACAGAGACATGCACATTTCTTATTCTATGTTTTTTACGGCTCGAATCAATTTTTCTTGTGCGCGCGGCCGATAATTATGCTTGCGCTCAATGAGATCCGCGTCAATGCGATAATGTACACGGTGTCTCGAGCGATTTATATGTCTGCGCGTTATATTACATATAATCCTTCCACCAAAAGTGTGGAAAATCTACCGAAGGGAATAACTGAATTTGAAATAGAGACACGGAGAGATGTAACGTGAGTCAAGATACTAAACAAACGCACGCGAGGAAATTTGTTGAAAAACCGCCTACCTGAAAATTACGTCGCCGCCATTGGAAGGAGCCACAGCCGAGTATCTCGTCTCGCAGATAACGTCCGTTAACCTTTGAGGCTGATGGGTAGGGATCCCGGGGAAATAGTGTTCACAGTTGTGAGCGAAGTACCGGTATACCTGCCAGGTCTCCCCGAAATCGTACGATCGTTCGATCAGCATGGCGGCTGGTCGGAAGGTTTGGAAGCGAATGATGATATGCGTGAAGTGAAATTCCGCTTCAAGATCGAAGCGTATCGTAACATTTTCCACCCCGTTCTCAGCTTGCCACCACGACTTGCTATTTAACACGTTTATTGTAGAATTTTCTCTTGTGAGAGATAAAGTGGCGGAATCTCACCTGCCGACGATGTTCTCGATGTTATGCTGCCGCTTGGGAAACGACGAGTCGCAGAAGAAACATTTCTTTCTCTCTTTCAGATGAGAAACGATGCAGAACCTCTCGGGTCCCTTCAGACCGCACGTCGACGAAGCGTTCAGTTTGTTCTTTCGACCGATCAGCAAATTTCCAGTCGCTGGGTAACACGAGCTCTGCTCACAGGGGTGTGGTATTTTCGCGTGCGATCCTGTGAAAGAACTCTTATATGTTACACTTTCTCGTCGCATGAATTTTATTTCAGTCACATGTAATTATTTCCTTCTCCTAGAACAGCGGGGTCACCGTGATAAATCGTATGTGCCGAGGAGAATATTGCTTCTGTTGGGGTTGGTTCGCGTCGATTAGTACATACGACGTTAGTGCGCGCGCGTATTTACATTGGGATTAAAATGAATGAAGATAAAAACTAAGGGAGAATTAGCTACAGAGGGAACCAGTTTTGAAATAAATCTTTATTCGTGTTAAAAATATTATTCTTCTTAAGTTGCATTGTGTGAGCAACATTACGACATGTGTGTCGAATTAACTACAATACCCCGAAGGAATATATGGCGTATTTACGAACGCTACCTCTTGATTTTGGAGCGACTGGACGCCGATTACGATGTTCTGTCATCACCTCTGCGGGTGACATATCCCCTCTCTGCACCGATCCTGAACAATACCCCCGCTTTTATTTATAGTTGCATGTCTTCCCTCTCTTTACTCGCGTCGAGTAAGAGTTTTCGTAGTTTTATAAAAATATGCTGATATGGTTCTCTCTTCTAAGTTGTACGGTGAAACTTATTCCGCGAAGAGAAGAAAAAATCTCATTTCACTGTCAGAAACTGGACCAGAGATCAGACTCGGAGAGTCGTTAACGCGACGAAGAACGACTCTCGGCTGCTTTCAAATTCAAGATAACACTAAAAACAATCGACTGAGTCGTAAAACATTCAGCAGGAATCTTTCCATTCCAACGCTTGAATATTCGACCGGTCGGCCCAAGATAGCAGCAAAAATCCATTACGTTGGAACTGAGTTTCACTTCCGTATGAATATTCTTTCGCGAAAATAATGTATAAAAGTTTCGAAGGAGAACAGAGTCTCTTACCTCTGGGTGGTGGTCTGTATTCTCTCAGTCCATATTGAGAATTTACGAATCCTATAAAGAATCAATAAAAGAACGTTAAGAAAGATTTCGAAGAATCAATTCAGAGAGAACATTTTCTTGACAAAATTTCGCTTAAGAAGAAAAGTAAGAAAGGGAAGAAGGAATTGGGTGACGCAAATAATGTTCGTGCGCAAAAAACTGTAATTATTCTAAGTGCAAAGTGATCTTTCCAGAAATGTCTCAAATGACGCTGAAGTACGCTGAAACAGTTATCAAGAGGCGTTATACTACCGGTGGAGGCTATCGCAAAGAACAGCCGGATGTTTATTAGACAAGGCAGTCCTGAAAAATATTCTGTTAACTGTGCAACAACTAGTTATTCGAAAAATATCGATCGTTATGAAAATACAAAAATAAATAAAACAGACTGAGATGATGAAAAATTGTAGATAAAAACCAGTAAGTCTCCGGTGGGATACAACTTTGTCGTATTATAACGGCACTGCGATCTATAATGATAAATTAACATTTGCGCGCGATTTACGTCTGTTGAATAGTCTCTTCTCAGAATCGATCGATAAATATACACGAGGATCTATATACGTTTGTAAGATGATTCGCATTTAGAAGCCGAAATAAACTTGCTGCTTTCAAAAGGAAGGCAGGTCGCGGGGTCACATCATTATCTAATCGGCGGCGGATAAAGAGTTTGTTCGTTAAAAGAGAACGATATATGTGGAATTTGGGCCGCACTTTATCCACCCTAAAAGAAATAATTTTGTTATGTCATCCTTTTGCAATATCGATTATTAATCCAGCGTTGAAAAGCGCTAGTATTTAAATAGAAAAAGAAACGAGTTGTAAAACGTACAAAGGTACATTTTTTTTTAAACTCTTTACTCTTGAAAAACAGGATGTTTAGACATAGACGAGAATTGTATATTTTGACAAATCACTTTGCATTAATAAATTAAAGTATAATATTAAAAATGCATATCAATTACGTACCTGTTAAAATATTAAGTATAACAATTAAAGCTGCAAGGGCCACATGTCTATGATGAACACGGTGCATTGTTGTTCTGCTTTTCTTCTGTCTATGTAGATTTTTTCGCGACGGTGCTGAGCCTCATCGACTATGTGGTTCAAATTTCTACGAGAAAAAAATTAAATATCGCGGAAATAATACGAAATTATTACGAACAAAATATCTCTTTACTTTTTTTTAACTTGAAAACATGTGTTTGTGATCAGTTACAAAGACCCCCTGATAAAGAAATATATTGCCTAAAATTGTAAATACTTATGAAAAAACACAATATGAGGGAGAGAAAGAGGCTTATCAGCATGTTACTTATTTCAAGAAGAGCATTTTCCAATAACATCAGATCAAATAATAGAAGCAGGTATCTAACAATTTTTAACAATTATTTTTATTCCAAAAATAAAAAGGATTGCGCGTTTTATACTCAGAGAGAAAGAGAGAGAGAGGGAGTAACGGTGTCGAAATAATTTTCCCCGTGTCATATTCAAAATATGAAAAGTGAGAAAAATGTGAAATTTCAGAATTGAATTGAAAGAATAACAACAAACATCGCAAAAGTCATTGCCGCGCACTTGTAAAACAAGAGTGATTCTTCTCGCTGCAGTCGATGTGCCGTATCTTTTTTATCTCACTCTCTCTCTCTCTCTCTCTCTCTACCTGCGCTCTGTAACTGCGTCAATGCACTCGCTGCAAATAGTCTTCCCTACCGCACGCAAGTCGACGAAAAGTCTCTTCTTGAAACGGCGTCGTCGCTTCCAAGTTACGAGTGGCACGCTGCGAGTTCTCGACACGGCCGGAACTCGCCGAAACCTGTGGACAGCTCACCTCGTTGTCGTCGTCTACCTCAACGTCATTCGTTGATCTTCTATCACTGAACCCACGTTATCCTCGCGGTAACGCAACTCGGCCCTTTCTTGACAGGTGCACGCGGCAGCAACACTGCTGGAAAATTGTACACGAGCACGGAAAATGAAAAACACGGCGGACGCGCCTTGTGACGCGCGTCTCTCTCAGGCTGAGTCTCGGCTTGCCGAGTCGCGACTCCGCTCGAGGTGCCCGTCAGTGCCGTACAAACGGTCACGAAGCTTCGCGGGAACGAACGGGAGAGGGAACAACAGATGGAAAAGCGACGAGTGGGACTGAATGCCGGGCCGGCAGAGAAGAAATTTATATTCACAAATCCTCGAAGAGATCCGAAATAGCTCGATATTTAAGCGTCATTTTCTCTCCTCTTCATCGACCAAACGAGAAGCCTGATTTTTTGCAAGATGAAAGAACACGTAGTTGAGATAGTTTGCTAAATAGATCGCACTTTTCCAAGCTACGTGCGCGACTGAGTGCGATTTTCCAGAAATTCATTTACGGGAAACTCGAGACAAGTCGTCAAATCTTAGTACGCGTGCAAATACCTGCCTCTTTAACGATTCCGAGGAATCGGAGAAAGAGCAAATTATTGAATACGCAATTATTGAAGAAAGTAGGAAAAGTTTCGAAATTCCCGAAGGTTTTCTCATCTCAACTGTAGTAATAATCCTGTTCTAATATTGATGTATACCTTGTAAACGTTGCTTTTCGGTGATAATCCTTTGGATGATTACTAACGATACGATAAATTCATCGCATAAAGAGAATATTTTTCGCGTGTAAATAGGTCTTCTATCATAGGTCAACGTTCTGTCGCCTGATAGTGTCACTTTTTATGCATGCTGTACGCAATAACGCGTCGCGGGAAACATTTATCGCACAGAATGAGAACTTCAAATCCAGTAACGTCTCCAATTTGTGTCAACTCTTGCGAATTATGTTTCTCGCACACCCGTTATACCGCCGATGATTATACTGCCGCACATGTGCGGCACACATGCACGCTGGTCCTTCAAAGCCTATATATTGTGTTGTAAAGCTTATGAATCTCCGTAATTTTAAACGTCATTTTTAAAACAGCAATGTGCTTACGCTCCAATTAATTAATGAAGCGTACTGCTTGAACTCGAATATGGTCCAACGTGAGGACTTGAATCAATGAATGGTTCTTGTTAGCATCTTGCTGACCGGTAACAAGAAGAAAAATAAAATCTTCAATTAAACAACCTCGATTTTACGAGACCGTTTGAATTCATACATTTATTCCAGTTGTGTCAATTCCGGATATCATCCCTTATCGATCACATATAAATCAATGAGGAAACATCTTGAGATGAAGAATTTTCAAACCTTGTGATATCCTTCATTCTGCCGACATCTTTAGAAGTTTCTTCAGTTATAAACGGAAGAACAAATCAACTCTCGTGCATTCTTTTAGGTTTGTTTTGCAAAAAATATTGTTTAATATGAAGAAATGGGGGGGGGGTGGGAAGAGAGGAAAGGAGATTGAAAAATTTCGCCAAATTCACAATACAAATGCCTGTAACATTTTGTTCGAATAATGATTTAATCGGAGCATACGACACAATATTGACGATATTTAAGCATGTGTTCCGCGCTACGTTCCGATTTCACAAATCTATCCGATGACACGCGTATCTCGGCGCGCGACGAAAGAGAACGGGAAGCGGCGAACTGCCCTGGAAAGGCGAGACGAGGAAGAGAAGGCGATGGCATTCTGCTATCGTAGCTGGGGTACATTGTACAGATAAGGCAGCCCACGCTACGCTTCCTTCCTCCACGATGATCCCACTTTCCGTTTCTCCACGCGAATGTACTGATTCGTTGTGTCGGCCTATCCGTGACAGCGGACAATCGCACAACGCCGGATATTATCGCGCTTCTCGTCCTGTCTGCCTTTAGAATTAATTCACCCCAATTAGCACAAAGAATTCGTCGTACTGACTCGTGACGTTCGATATAGAATCACGGCGAAAATTTCGGATTTAGGCGGAGTTCAACATTCAAAGTGACATTGGTCAACTCGCGCAAAATATGAAGATAATGCCTCTACGTCTCTTGAGAAAACATATCTCTTACATTGTATTTCTTTGTATATCTTGTATTTTTGTAGTATATATATATATATATATATTTTTTATGAAATTTATACATGCCTTAACATGAATCAAATTTCGTAAAAGAAGAGGATCGTTGCAAAATCATATTGTGTCCTGTACTATCAGTTTACTACATAATCCTATTTTTATCTCAGTCATATGAGATTGACACATATGTGTGTGTGTATATATATATAAAATGACGAATGGAAAAGAAACAGAAAAACGTTTTGCCGAGTACTATGCGGTTGATACGATCCTGCGCGATTCACTCTGGTGGGGTTGAATGTGTAGGCGGGGAATAAAGGTACGAACCAGAACAGATTTCCTTTTTACTGACAATGACTTCGTTCTGTAGTCTTACTTAGCACCAATAGATGGCAATATACAAAGATATAATGAATTTTCCAATTAATTATATCTTACATCAAATTATACAGCGATATGAATAAAAATAAACTTACCACAGATTATTTATTTCATTAAAATTGAAAAAAAATCTTTCATTGGTATTATCCGCGTTATCATTCGATTAAAACTATACTACAACTATTCTTGTCGGGAATCTTTGCTTTTTTTTTTTTTTCAAACTGTTGGGAAAACGAGAAATTTTCATGTAAGAGAGACTCATGATATCAAAGGAATAAAATTGAATTGGAACCTATATCGACGAAAAATTACTTGCTTTTTATTATGCACATTATTAACGTTATACAGATGTATAATATAGATACGTTAGTGAAACATTCAATGTTACTTATTGCGATAACATTTCGATGACGCAAAGATTTAGTAACGCGCATTCCTTTATAATATTTAAAAATCAAAATCCAAGATTTGGTTTATATGTTTTCATTAGACGCGTATTACCAGATTGACAACATTACAAACTGTGCGTCTGAGAATTTTCTATTAGGCCTTCGCGTCGAGATACAAGTTTTATACGATGAACAAAGCATGGTGCGAAGCTGAAGTAAACATGACGACATTTTCTATATTCTTAATACGCAACCTTAGCGTACGTCGTTGATCCTGAGCTACTCGGGCGATTGTACACGTTTATCATACAAATAAGAACATTATTTAACGAAAACAACATTTACAATAACTTGTGTGTATACACGTACATAGAATGTCTGACGCGTATACATTCGTTCGTGTGTGTGTGAGTAGGTACACGGAAAAAGATTTGTGTAACAGAATAGGACAAAGTAGGCTCGATGACGATATCTCTGTTGTTGCGACTGGAAACATTCTCATCTGCTTTAAATCTTAGATTACGCGTCTAATACTTATGTACGTACAAGGATGCCACACTGGCTGCAAATAGCGTCTTCGTTTGTTAAAACACACGACTAAGAGATGGCTAAATATAAATGCACGATAATGAAATGGAAAAGAAGGGAAAATCATTTTAAATCATTTATAAAGAACGTAGTAACGCGCGGAAATGTTCCGTGCGTTGTTACATCCGCGCCGCGCATAGCGAATATCTTACTTTCAAGCGGCCCGCAATAAATTTGTTTTCAAATTAACAATCAAAGCACATCGCGTGATTTTATAATCATTTTAGTATACCGTTTTGCAAAATTGTTTGTAAATTCCTCATATTGTGTTAAAGTGCTCAAAGATGAAAAGATAAAAAGTCGGATGAGAAAGAGTTTACACATGTATTGTAACAATACGATGATAATATAATAAAGCCTTTACAATATGTCTCGTAGGGAATAAATTCGAAAGAGTAAAAATCTCAGAGAGAGAGAGTGTGCGTGTGTGTGTGTGTGTGTGTGTGTGTGTGTGAGTGTGTGCGTGCGCATATGTGAAAGAGAGACATTTTAGAAGCCTTTATATGTTACACTAGATTTTACGCCTATTATTCGCACTAGTTGTATTTTCCTTCGATTCTCCTCCAGTATTCCATAACGTTTTTTCATTGCGAATCTCCGCTAATTTCATCGGGATTCGTTTTCGGGATTAAACCGTTTATTGCGTTAGATAATAAAGAAATTTTTCCAAAAGAATCGTATTGCTCTTTGATATATGCTTCACATATATCTACGTACCGCCGCTGGTTTTATCATCGACACGTATCTTCGTTGTCGTCCTTCCTCTTGTTCGTTTCTTTCGGAGTACACCGACAGCCATACAATCATTCTTTCGCGAGTTACCTCGTCACTGTCGTTTAAATGTATTCGGCGAACATTATCCAGTAAGTGACGTTCAACACGGCGAACAGAAAGGGGAAGAAAACGCGCGAGACACGGTCAATGTTGAGGGCGCGTATCCGCGCCCTTTGCGCCGGGGTGGGTCCGGATGATGGGGCGGCCGGTGATTTCTGCGATCGGCAGGATAACAACATTGCGCATTCCTGCGTGACAACCATCACAACATGAACCATCACCATGCAGACCATCCGTCTCCCATGCCTCGCAGAGCGGGACACAATTTCGGATGACAATAGCCGCAAAACGCAGTTACGAAAATGTTAAAATTATTATGATCCTCGAAAGAAAGAGCTTCTCGCATTGCACGGATTTGAGTGAATGCGGCAAGTGTATGCGCGTTACGTAATGACGACAAACATTGCCGAAAATTTAGCAAGAAGAATTCTCTTAGCAAGAAAGGAATGTTAGTAACAGCATTTGTCACACACGCACGATTTTAGTGCGAGTACCAACAAATCTTTTTAGTTGCGAATCCTGCGGAAAAGTAACTGCGAAATTGAAACCTGATTACCTTTCCTCTATTCGAGGCATAGGAGTGGTCCAAAATAGGCTAGCCTGAGATCGATGGTGTAACAATTATAACAAACTGACAATTTTTATCGAATATTTTCTCCCTCCCTCCCTCCCTCCCTCTCTCTCTCTCTCTCTTTCTATCACTCTCCTTGTAATTTTCTCTGCAGGAAGCCGCGGTTCTCATTGGATCAGCCTCAAAGTTCAGTTGGATAATTGAGTAAAATTTTGCTTGAAAATGTGCATTCGCAATGGGAACAAATGCTTCATCACCTTTCGAGTAATCACCTATGTTTTCTCGCAGCATTGCGATGATACCCCCTTATCGTACATGGATGTGGTCGGTTTTTCAATTTTTTTTTTTTTTCAATCGGTCCAATCGAAAAATTGATCTCGGCGACATAATCAAGCAGAGCCTGCGGAGAGAGCTGGAGAAATCCTTCGACCTTAGGCTGCCTTAGGTGGTGATGGGAGCTGTTTTTCATCCAGGTGTTACCTTGGTGGCGATATCGAAGATCTTGTCGAGCTTAGCCGAATCCGCGGTGCTCGTCGTCGTCGGGGGTGGCGGCGGGGGCACGGGTTTCGCATCCGAGTCACCGAGGACAATGTTCACGAGACAATACTCCATCAGCGCCATAAACACGAACATTGTGCAAACCGACATGAAGGCATCAACGGCCTTCAAATACGAAACAGGCGGTAACGAGGCTTGGCTCTTGGCGTGCTGCGTGGACAGGGTGAGTAACGAGGTGACCCCTAAGGTAACTCTGGCAGGCGCGGCCTCGGGTTTTATCCAGAACGACATCCACTGCGCGCAATATCACACCGTTATATTCGGTGACAAGCATATGTTTCAAAACGCGTTCAAATCTTCGCGCTACTCACCGACATGATGACGATCAAGCACGTTGGAACATAGGTGTGGAACATGTAATAACCGAGACGTCGCTTCAGCACGAATATGACCTCGAGACAGGTGAAGTTACCTGATGATTGTTAAACGATATTGCGGGATCTAAAAAGTCTCTCAAATGATATGAACGCATGGGTGCTTCTTGGAGTCGTAAAACGTCCTCAAGAGACTTTCTTAATACGTAAAATAACCGTATCATAGAAGAACCGTCCCGACGTACAGTCATTCACTTACCCGTGGAGTAGACTTGCGTGCAGTCGGCTGTATAATTCTTAACGAGTTGCAACTGGGGCAACTCGATGTTCTCGTCTACAACGAGAGGAACATCGGGATCCCACTGGAAAATCATTTCGTCCGTCGTGTGCGACACTGTTGACCGTTTTGTTTGCACGTGAGATACGAACGCTCAATAAGAGTACAATTTACCAATTATAATTGTGACTTACGACTTTCCATTTGCAGTTTACATTCCTGAGTATCGTGGGGGTAAATAAGAAAATTCATGGCGCAAGAGAGTTTTAAGGTCAGTCTAAAATCATGAATATTTTCTCAAACGTCGGTCACCTACGGTGAGAAGCTTTCTCATGTAAACTCACTTCACCATGTAGAGAATGGTTTTGTCCTTGTATAGCCACAGATAATGATTCGGTATCGTCATAGTTTGAAAAGTCACCGATTTCGCGTTTTTAAAGAAGGAATCCGGCCGCCACATGTTCTTCAACCAGTCGACCTCCAGTAATCTTCAATTTCATCGAGCGGAATGCAAATCGAAGAGTTAATCGACAAAGCTAACAATGCGTGAGCACGTGTTTCTAGCAAGCTTATACCTATACTCGGATGTCATGTTTTCCGGCAATCGAAGCCTATTGTCCTTCCATGTTTGGGCAAAGAAAATGTCAGCAGCGTATGTCTGCAAAAGTAACTCGTCGGGCATTATTGTTCACTCAGTGCGACTCAATGAAACAAAAGTAATAAGCAATTTCTCACTTTCTATTAACATTTGCCAAAATTATGCCAAGTTTTACCATTGAATTTTCGTCGATGGAATCGAGTCCCATAACGGTAACGTGAAAATACACTACGGTTGCCTGGCCGTCTTTCTTGGGAGGTCGCATTTTGTCATAAAACTTTGGATCCTCCGGCAGAAGATCGAAAAATTCTAAGCTTCTTCTGTAATTTTAATGGACGATTCCAAAAATTGAACCGTTTTCACGTGACACGTCATTGCGCGATATATATCAATTAACTAATTATTTATAGACGACGACGCTCCATAGTACCGTTCAAACTTTTAGCGTGGCCAATCTTAACTCTACTTATTACGCAGCCTCCGTTCCTTACAAATGCAATTTATCGAACGATATCTTCCAAGCAATTATTTGATTTGCGCGCAATATTTCTCGGAAAATCTGATTGTTCAACATAGCAACATGAACGTTGTGTACTCACTGAGCATTCGCCGCACGGCCGAAAAACAGAAGGAGCAAGACGGACGAAAGTGTCGCGGAAAACATGCCTATCTCCTCCGTGGACATGGTTGGTTACTTTTAACGCATCTTCGTGTCGCGACACAACGAAGGGAATGCGAGAAAATGAGTTTGCTCTTCATGAAACAAGGAAAGGTCTTGTCCGAACGGCCCAAGACTGAAACTGCGCCTAATCGGTACCCCCGAATTTACGAGAACGGACAGACGACGACTGAATTCTTGGAAACGACTTTGTCAAATCTGCAGAATCCTCATCGTCGCATATAGACACGAACCGTGAAAGTGGTGCAGGTGGAGGTGGCGGCGGCAGCGGTGGTGGTGGTGGCAGCGGCGGCGATGGTCGCAGCGGTGGTGGTGGACCGACGGCAGTACCTTACCGCCTAACTCCACCTCCACTTAACAGAGGGAACAAGTGCCAGGGAAAGAAGGGGTAACTCCCGCTCATGACGTATACGAAGACAGGCCTGGGATAGAAATCTGGAGTATCGCGCTGGATCGACGAGAGGATGTGGAAAGAGGTGGTGATCACCCCAGGGATACTCGTGTCATTGGTTTACGTCGCTCAAATTTACCCCAATGCGGCAACATCGTCGTCGTCGACAGGGAGCGTTTATATTTTTCTTTTTAATCGCGAGTAGATTCGTTATAAATTATCGCTTCCTCGATCCGTTGAAATTCCTTCAAATTTCAAGTCAATCCCATGATCTTCTCTTGTTTTGCAATGTGACCCTTCACACACACACACACACACACACACACACACACATGGGCTTTATGTGGATTGCGATAAAGCTACATTGGATTTTTTGGACGTTTGGTTTGTCACAATGACATATATGTTGTTGCATTTCGAAGAAAAATGTCATCAATGGCGCTCTTCCAGTTTTTCCGCAGTTTCTTCATCTCGTTCGACTCTCTTCCCGAAGGATTGGAGGAGGCGCTAACTAGTAGTATGCTATTTGAAGACACCAGTACGTCGCTCGATATATCGATCTTCGAAAATTGTGCCACGAATAGGAAGGTACGTCTAGCTCGTACAGTGTCGAGTGGCCACTTATCGAGAAAGTATACACACGTGTCGATGTGTAGGTGCAATTCACCCCGGCTGCGTACGTGCACGGAAGAGAGAATGACATATCTGCGAGAGAGAAAATTCGAAGGTAATAGCAGATTTGATATATTTGCTCCTTCCTCGCAATTGAGAAATCTCATGTGTTTGCCTCAACGTTACTTTGCTGCGTAGCAAATCGCAAACAATCTCATTAGCGGCGTCACTTTTAGCGAACGTAATCGCACTCTATCCCCTGCCCTTCACGAGCTCACGATCCGCATACTCTTACTTTGTCCTTAATTAAATTTTGTCTCACAAGTTTCATCTTTACTCGAATTTCTTGATTGGTACAGCATTCGAAGGAATACATCACCGAGGCGGGATTCATCAATCGTCGACTTTCCAAATATCTTCCCTTTTGATACTCATTGCTAATTAATCAAGTACCAATATGTGATAATATCTTTCCATAGACAATCATCCTTGATAAGGAAACGCGAGGAGAGGTACGTTTTTCCGCACAATCAGGTCACGGGGCCTGGGAATACTAGATTGTGCGAGACGTGTGCTCCTTCGACAATTCGTTTCCTGGCGTTTCCTTATCTCCGTCGATTGCATCCTCTGTATCGTCTCGCCTTAAAAGGCGAACGATCAATTCAAGTTGCCCTTGTGTTTCTTCCGTGTAACAAACAGGCCAAAGTTATGTCGGAGGAGACGATTTCTCGCAAGTATCGGAACTAATTCCCATTAGATTCTCCACGATCGCGCGAAGGATCAACTATCACGTCGTCGCATTTAGACCAACTATCCGGTGAACACCAACTAACCAATGTTATAATTTCTCACTGTTGCGTAACACGCGCGTTATATTTACACGGTTGAATTATAATTGATTGATGTGTTACTGGTGTTCACTGGGTATCGATGAGAGACGTGCGCGCGGCGAAAAGCGATAAAATCGATTACAAGTGCTACGAGTGCTGGCGAAAGCTCTCGGATATCGCTCGTTCAAGGGAACGATTACGTCAAAGGTTTTATGACATCATTTGAAGTATCATCGGCGCGGTTCGAAACCGAGCACAATCCTCTGAAGAAGAAAGGAACAATGGAGAAAATCGGGCCTGCTGACTGAAAGTAACAACATATTGCGCGCCGCACTAAATCTTGCGCGGAAAGCAGCGATCATCGTCCGTCCTCTCGAATCAATCGCATCTACCTTCTCATTCCCTTGTCAGATTAGCAACGAGGCTCAACTAGATGTCGAGAGAACGTGTGTTTCACGGGTCGCTTCCTTTTTTTCGCAAACGTCAGCCGAGAAAGGGAAGGAGAGCGGTGAAGGATAGAAGAAGAAGAGGAGAGTTCGCCGCGGGGAAAAAGAGGGAAGAGGGATGGCAAATTTTGCGAGGTAGTTGGAGACGACGATGCACGATAAGCACGCTCTATCCCCTTTCTCCGACCTGAGGCTGTCTGCTCTGTGCCTTGCACGCTCGACTCGGCCACAAGTGCCCACCCACACCACCGTATTCTGCCTATTATTTTCGACCGTCGATTTTCGATTGTCGCGCAACTGCCGACGTAGGGACTCTTCTTACGGCTGCTTACGCGTGTATTTCGGCATTACACATCGCGAACGAAAGGAAAAACGGCGGCTATCGATGAACGACATCACGCACACGACCGGTCGTCCCTACGCGTCGTTACAAATGGCTATGAACGAAAGTTTCTCCAATGATTTTCATTGCGATTGAGAGACGTCGGTTCCTTCCGCAAGTACGATTTGTGGAACGTAAGTGAATATAATTCAACAATGTCTGCCTTTCGATTTCGGGTGCATTATAATATTAGTATGTATATACTCTGATGTAACGAGTAATATACCAGTATAATCGGTATGTTCCCTTTCTTTCGTCACATGCTTCGCGAGTATTTGGAGAAATTATGATTGAAATGCGTGAAAGATGTGTTTGTGAAAATTGAAAAAGATTTATTACAGATACTCTTTGTAATACAGAAAACGATTGGACGCAGCCATTCATATTGCTATTTCATCTTGAGAAATGTCACAGTTGCACTCCCCCGATATAAATTTGTGATACTCGTGTTTTTTTTTTTTTTTTTTAGAGAGAAAAATAAAACGTTCCGTGATGCGCAATAGGCACAATACACGTAATACTTTTTTTCCTTTTTTGTCGGTGTGAATTCAAGATCGTTAGATCCGGAATTGATTTTCCGTGGAAAAACATAAAAACTGTGCTGTTACCGTTTAAACTAAATATTTTTACCAATTATATTCAAAATGTCTATATAGCAATATATGCAGGGTGAACCACGCAACGTGATCAGTTTATTTTATTAGTTAGTGGACCGCTTGAAGATCTTTTTGTCTAATACGGTTCAAGGTGAGATATCTAATGATACCATATGACGATAAGTAATAGAGAGTAACAGAATATCTAAAGCGTTAGCACGGCTGCGTAAATTGTTTTCTCTGCAATTACGTCGATAATACAGAATGTTTCGAAACTGTTCTTGTATACTCGAAATGTTAACAGCGCAATGCGCGAACGTATGCTGTTATTGTGGCGCATCGTGCCTAATAAAGCTATACGAACATCATCATCCAGCATTTTGCATGTCAAAATGTCACAGCATGTAGTGTGCGCACCGTGATAATACCATGCGAATATCATCTGTTTTAACAATATAAAATAGTACTTGTACGAGTACAGAGTGCACTGACGTGCCGGCACGCTTGGTTATCGAGGTGAGTGTGAAATTACTGTGCCATAACGAACTTACCATATCATCTTGTGGTACCGCCACCTAGCGTGAAATTAAGGAATCACGAAACAGTTTACAATAACTGAAATTCCATGGAGTAGTAACAACCATTTCGATTTTTCCCCTTTTTCCACACAAATGCGAATGATAAAAATAAATGCATTCTCTGCTCCGCAATACAACGACGTTCTGGACTTTTCCATCGAGTGAGAGCTATTGTATGTGTAATATCTATGTGTCTCGCTGTTACAGCGAGTTATGCATCGCAGAATGATAACGTATATCGAGAGGTGATAGAATATAATAGAATCGAGGAATCGTTTCCAAACAACTTAATCAATGATTCGATTTAACCTCTTCGTACAATCGCAACCTCAAAAAATTCAAAATTATTCAAGCTCGGTCACGTAGATATTCCCGATAATGATTGCATCTGGTGTAAAAGAGAGTATAATAATATCACGGTATAAGAAAAATCTCCTGTGAGATGATAACGCGAGCAGATCAAATAATTTCCAAAAATGTATCGAAAATTTGCTGAATTAATTTAGTAATAGTAATTAGTAATTTAGTAATAATAGTAATAATAGTAATAGTAATTTAGTAATAGTAATATGGTAAATGTTACTTCTGGATCGATTCAAATTGGGGACTTCAAGAATCGTTAAAATATTGCTGAAAATCGCATACAAAAAATGTCTGAAATCTTATAAAAATGCATATATTTGTTTTTGCAAAAATTGCTTAAAATAACTTAAAAAGTAGACCTCCCAAAGTGATATTCCATTCTTGGACCAAGGAAAATTGAACACATTAATAATCGTTAAAATATCGCTAAAAATCTTTTTATTTATATCTAAAACATATTTATTTAATATATCGCTGAGAATTACATAAAAAAATATTTGAATTTTCATAAAAATCAACCTCCCAAAATGGCATTTTATTTCTGAAGCAGGGGGACATTTAAAAATCATATAAAATCCAGTAAAAATTCATCGTTTTCAAGCATACTCTTTTTCAGTCTACAAATTATAGACCACCGCCTAAAAATGGGAAGAATGAAAAACCATGTAGAAATCTCGCTCTCAAAGATAAATTGAATGCGAATATAAGAAAGATCGCAATATTACGACGAACTCTTTACGCACGCAAGTATATATAGGAAACTCAACTGGCTGATATTATCCGAATAACAGCGACCTTGCGATTTCGTAAAGGTAATAAAGGATGATAAAAAATAAGTTTGAGAATAACACTTACTTTTTATTTAAACATCAATACAAACGCTATGAAATATTTATTAAATTACGGTGGATGCGGAGATATAGAGTCGAATACAAAGGAGTATCGCGTGAAAATTTCTCGCTCACGAGTATAAATCTAGTTAACTGAATGTATTACGCGAACAATGATCCCGCGATCGCGAAGGAAACATTGCTCTCGAAGATAAAAGATACGTATAATCCAAAGAATACGCAAGGGGAGCTTCCGAAACACTTGGTTATCAGCCAACGACGAGAGCGATGTATTACAAAGCTCGGTGTAACAGCCTCAATACGTAGTGATTACAATTCTCGATCGCATTCAAAAGAATGTGTTATTGAACATCGTTGCGATCGAACGACTCAAGGAAACATCAAGAAAACTCTGTAAGGCAGTACCGTATGAACGACAATAAAGTATGAATGCGTGTGTGATCGAGTCCACTACTTCTCGGGCTTGGTTCCCTCCTCCTGGCCCCGCGTCGTCAACTCCTCCCTGATTTCGTTCTCGACGGTCTTCCCGGTGCTGGACGTGGTCGCTTCGGTCGCTTCGCCATCGCCCGTGCGAAGTGCCGGCTGGCCAGTCTGCTGAATCTTGATCACCTTCGGCTTCTCAGGTTCCTTCTTCAGCGGCGCCGTGATAATCAGTATACCATCTGAGGATATGGTCGATGATACCTGGTCGAGATTCGCTCGATCCGGCAGCAGGTACTTCCTCAGAAACTGACGCGAAATGCTCCCGTGCTCGTCTGGCTTCTCCTCGTGCTTGGCTTCGACAACAATGCAACGACCAACCACCTTGACGGTAATTTCCTCTGGCTTGAACTGCCGTACGTCAATAATGACCTTAAAGTTGTCATTGTCGGAGGCAATGCCCATCATGGCGGCGCCGTCCTTGCGACGCGTCACATCCATCCAGGGCCGGTAGTAAAAGTCCAAAACCGTTTGATCTCGCAAGCTCGGATAATAACGGTCGAAAGGACGCGAGAGGATAGACTCGCCAGGGTTGAAGCCTGCGAAGGCGAGATTCTGATCCATCATACGATGATGGGGACGATCAGTCCACCAGGCCGACAACAGCAACGGTAGTAGATACATGGTTCTCTCTCTCTCTCTCTCTCTCTCTGTCTTCTCGCTTAGGAAAGTAATCGACTTTCTTGCCTTGCTAATACACAGGCGGATAAAAAGGTACTCTCGTTACACTCGCTCGGGGCTTAGTTTTTACAACTGCTGCGGGGGTCGTCGCGGCCGCTATTTATGTCGAACCGATTTCGGCTTGGTGGGGAGTCTGATTACGGTACGTTATGTGATGACTTCGAGAACTTACTGCGGATGGAAGTTGCAGCTGAATTCTCTCTCTCTCTCTCTCTCTCTGCGCAACCCTCTCCCGGTCTCTAATCAACGTTCAATGCTGGACGGAGATATGCTTGACGCTGTCCTATTCTTATGTTTTACATCGTTAGCTATCGGTTCAAACTTCAGCGCAGTAACGTGTAGCAACGTGTTTCGATTCTTCCCTCGGAAACTTCGAAATCTTCCGTGAAGCTCTCTTTCGATCGAGTTGCTACGTTATATGTTCGCACAATGTCGTACTTGCTAATTTTCAATCGCACAGTCTGCGTAAAAAATACATGTTGAAAATTTTCCGGAAAAGGATCCAAAATTAAACGGAACAGTCGTATTTCTGAAAATGCATATAAAATGGTAGAGCCACGTCAACACCTTCGACAGAATGATACCTATATTACGTAACCCGCTGCTGTTTGTTAGCAAAACAAGTTACAGCTGACGTGGAGCTGATACGATGACACGAAGCTCTAATCGTTTTATAATATTATGCCGTATATCCCTAAATAGATATCAGATGATGTGCATTTGATCGAAAAGTCCTGTCGGTTTATAAACAATGGCAATATTGCTCATTCCGCAAATTTTAATCCGCGAATTAGCAGACGGACTTTGACAATATTTACGTCGTTATGTTAATTCCCTTTCACACGATATATTGAGATATTCCCTTGTGAAAAAAAAACTCAATATAAATATTGAAGTTTGGTAAGAAAAAGAATTTTATTTTAATCCTCCCAGGTTAATATTTCAGAAGGAAACGAAAAATGCTTAAGAGAAAGGTTGTATGGTTTAGAGGAGGACATCGGAGGATGATCTTGCTCTTCTTATCGAAGATGACGTTGTTCAAAGGTCATTTCAAGGTCAACTTCGTTTTTTAAAATAAAATCATTGTTTTTTTTTTTTAGCATAAATCGATTCCTCTGTTCATTTTATTTATAAAAGTACTAGGACGATGTCATCTAAATACTTTCCGGGTTATTTTACTTTTTATTTTGAATTCTATTTTTTTCAGTACGAGATATGAAATATCTCATAAAATATTCACTTTTTCATAACATCACCTTAACACTGTTTTTACATAATAATATGAGATAAACCGATTACTGATACAAATCATTGCACATTGGTGCATCGGTGCGTTTGCAAAATACAAAAATTTTTTTCTAAGGTTTCTCTGATTATAGCGATCGATTCCACTTGCCACTATACATACAAAAGTGTTATTAAGGTGATGATATCGAATGAGGAATATTAAAAAAAAAAATTAATATTGACCTTGAACAACGTCACCTCCGATAAGACCGAGATCATCATCCGATGTCTTCCTCTAAATCGTACAACCTTTGTATTATTAAATATTTTCCGCCGAAGGATAATTTCCTTCGGAGATATTAACCCAGAGACGATTAAAATGAAATATCCCGTATAATTTTACGAAAAGAATAAAAAATAGCCGATCACGCTTGAAAATTGCTGTCAATACTTCTGACAAGAAAATATATGGGCGATATTCTTATCCGCGGTCTGCGCAATTGTATGCGAAAAATATTTTTTCCGCGAAGCGTATGTATCATACAAATATTGTCTCACGTAAGTGTTTCAGCTGTTGTTCCTTCAGGTGCCGTAATTAATGATGATTCATATATTCAGCGTAAATATATGTATATTCACATGTGTTATATATCATTAAACTTTCGACGTTCAAGAATGACATACTAGGATGAATCACGTTTTACTTTTGTTGCTTTTATTAGAAATTATTTTATCGCACTGTCACGATTCAATTAATATGTGTCATTTGATTTTACGCTTTATTCCGCAACTTAAAAATCACTACCTGTTGTCGAGTAATAACTTCCCGAATCTTCCGGAAAATTTCGATAAATTTTCTCGACGTCTGTATGCGCTTGCGTGCAATAGTACAATCGTCGCGAATATAAACACTCTAGCAACGCGATCACGATCAGTAGAGAAACGACTGTCGTTGAGACTGGCCGCGTGATCCGTTTCACACTTGAAAGTTTGTGCAAAATTGAATCGACGAAATGAGCAGATTCAGGGTGTCGCTGTTTCCGAAATTATTTTCTTACTGGTGGGAAACTCTGGAACGGCCGCATCATCGCTTCCTGGACCAGCGGATTACGATGAAGCTGCATCCCGATCACTTCTTCGCACCATTGGTATTTGACGGTTTCGACAACAAGTTCGAGAGACAGATGGAGAGATTCTCTCGACCGTGGAGCGAGTTTCTGCGCGAATGGTCCGTCGTGAAGAACAATTTCCAGGTGTCTCTGGACGTGCAAGAGTTCAAACCTGATGAAATCAATGTCAAATTGAAGAACAATTTCATCATTGTCGAAGGTGAGAGGGAATCTTGTTCGAAAAGACAAAAAATCGAATTGTTTAATGAAAATATTTATCATACAAAGAGTGTGTCGAATTGGCTTCTAACATCCAAGACAAATTGCACCATTAGTTGCAACAGCGCGCAAATTATTTTGGAAAAATTCAATAAATTGTACTTTTTTAATATTAAGGGTAAAAAAAAAGTATATAGGTGTTTAACAAAGTTTTTGTCATAATATGACGGTTTTCCTGATTACGCTCTCGAGTACGATGACGAAACCGGCTGACGCAACTATTTGGTTTATTTACTTCTTCAGCCGCGCATCTCGGTACATGCATTTTAATCGAAGGAGTTTGGACGAGCAAATCTCCTTTATAAATACATTGTCTGACTACTTTGCACATTATTTTGCAATCTCTTTAACAATCGTTAACTGTCATACGTCAAAGTATTGATCGTCTCGCTACATTCATCCACTATAGCACGTGATGTGACAGAAATATATTTATTACGTAGCATTATTATATGAAATATTCGATATCGTTGGAATATTACCAAGATATCACAGTGATATTAAAATGCTCGCCAAAACGAATCACAAGATGAACCACGCAACGTGATCAGCTTAGTTTATTCTGGTGATATTGCAAGCCGGAAAAATGCTTATGTTCTTAATTTAAGCAGTGTCGATAACCGCGCGAACGTGTGTGCTCCACTTCATACCTAATATTCGTGGTATATTACGTGGAAAAATTTCGCAGGAAAGCATGAAGGAAAGGACGAGCATGGAACAATTTCCAGACATTTCGTGAGGAAATACATGGTTCCGGAGCAGTGCGATCCAGAAAAGGTAACGAGTACCCTTTCTTCGGACGGCGTCCTAACAATCAACGTGCCGAGAAGATCGGAAGCTGATAAGGGAGAAAGGGTCATTGACATCGAACATACCGGGAAGTCAGAAGATGAAGCAGAAACAAAACAAGCTGCACGGGGATAATCAACAAATAATCTTAGAATATTGTTAGAGCGAGAGTAGTTGTTTATGCATAATATGCATAATTAGGTCGACATATTATCACGTATATTTTACATCATGTATCATGTGAAAAATCACATTTTTCATTGGTCAAATTTATAATGGATTCAAACTAGTGCGATCAAAATATAAAAATCATGTAAGTCTATATTTAAGTCATTCGATATATATTTCATAAACTTGTGTGTTATATATAACGCGAGAAACTAATCTCTTGATTTCAATTTATAGAGCCGATATATATAGTAAACATTATTATTTATAGGTTAGCAGATCGTAGATAAAGTGTATAATAATGGTCACACGAAATGAAGAGTATGTAATTAGTGTAGATAAAAAGATAGAATATAAAAATTATAAATTTAATAAAGCAAACGGTGGTTTCCAACCCTCCATGTGATTCACTGTTTTTCGCTAACGCCATATGATTCGTCGGTCACTTCGATGAACAAAACCACTTATCTCGCTGTGTATAAGTAAAAAAAATATTTTGATATTCCAGATTTCTATATAAGTGTTTAAGAGGGTAGTCTGCAGAATGCTTATTTGGGGGGGGGGGGATTAAAGCAAGTGTACGAGTCTTGCACACATATTTATTCAAGAATAAAAATATTTCTGCGATTTGGCAAAAGATGCATTAGTAATCGCATTTTTGATGGTTAAAGAGCCCACGAGAAATAAAATACACGTCACTGATTGATCATACGATTCTCACAGTCGTTCTACTCATCAGAAACAGCAGAAAATTCTTAATACTAATGAGTGGCTGTAATCCGAACTAAGATAAAAGAAAAATATTAGACATTGTTAAAATGGCAGTGATTTGAAAAGTAGGCATCGATTTTACAACAAAATTTGACAGCTATAAATAAATAGTAAGGATACCGTACGGCAACACACAAAGAAAAACGTGAGCGCGGCTGGTACACTATTCTTCTGGCTTTTGCGGGCCGTTTGCGACATATAGGGAGAATTGATAAAAAAGCAGCAGCCAATCAGAATTCACGCTGACAGTTTCTGCTTTATCTAGCTTACTGCCAGCGCGAATTCTGATTGGCTGCTGCTTTTCTCAAGGTATAAACTCTCCCTGGGCCCAAATAGCGCTAACAGCGTCTCCCCGAATGCATAAACGTGACCGCTCGAACGCACCCTAAATCTCGAGAAAGAGAGAAAAACCAGTGCAAGGCGGTAGAAATAGCGAGAGAGAACAGATCACACTCCTTGAACTAGTGCAGCCAGTCCAGGAACGGGAGACGAATCCTTCTTATGTAAATAGAAAGAATCTCTGTTATGTTCAGCTACGCCGTAAAAGAAATATTTTCACAAGACGATAATATCTAACAGACATTATCTTTACAGATAATATCTAACGTATTCTCTCTTATTTTATCAAGATGAGGCAGTTTAATTTTTTAATCTCACATTTCAATACAAGATTTATTAGCATTAGATGACTTGCAGAGGTTATCAAAATCATAGATTGTGATTTACTGATTTACACGCAGAGTAGCTTAAAAATTGAATGCTTAAAATAAGAATCTAAATAATTCTCCTTTATAATTTATTTAATATAAAGCAGCCGTTTCTTATATTGTGAGATATAACAAATGTCAGGTCGTTTGGTTATTATCACGCCAAGATGGAACATCCAAGCATTTCTTCTGACAAAACAACAATTTGACTTACAGATTGCAGATCATGTTGGACGAAACATGAAGCTCTTCAAGCTAATAGTACATCAGAAAAATTTTAGCGGAGAGGATTTGATAATTAATCCTAAAGATTATCCCGGCATAAAAACTGGCGATGTTGTTGAAATCTACCATCCGGAGGATGAATTTAGTCGCCTGCTGTTGCAAGTCACCTCCTTCAAGGAGGATCTTCAAGGACGCGAAACTATCAGTGTGGAAAATAATGTAGCGACAATGTTCCAATTGAGAACGTTTGCAGATGTATATATGAACATAGTAAATCCAGAAGACGTAGCTCTGGATTCTATAGAGCTAACTTTCAAGGACCAATACATGGGACGTAGTGAGATGTGGCGTCTGAAGAACAGCTTGGTATTTATTGCACATTAATGTTTACCATTGACTTATCCATATAGCTGTACAATTCTCCCGCAGGTAAATACTTGCGTTTATATCAATAAGAAGATAGAGTTTTGCGGCGGTAGTATACGTTGCCAAGTGTATGAGATGTGGTCACAGGGTGACCGTGTTGCTTGCGGCGTTATAACCGATGACACCAAGGTTTGTGCAAAGATACCGCAGTTACCGATTCAATATCGATTCAAAAACAAATATAATATTTAGGTGGTATTTCGATCTTCCACGAGCATGGTGTATCTTTTCATCCAAATGAGCTCTGAAATGTGGGACTTTGACATACACGGGGACCTGTACTTTGAGAAAGCAGTCAACGGATTCTTGGCCGATTTATTTCAAAAGTGGAAGAAGAACGGCAGCAATCACGAAGTGACGATCGTATTCTTCTCGAGAACATTCTACAATGCTACCAGCCTGGAGGAATTCCCGAATCATATGAGAGAGTGTTTGCAGCATGATTACAGAGGGAGATTTTACGAAGATTTTTACAGAGTTGCGGTACAGAACGAGAGATTTGAGGATTGGAGTAACGTTCTGGTGCAGTTACGCAAATTATTCACCGATTATCAAAAGATAGTTTTGGAGTATCACCAAAAAACAGATGTTACTATGCCGAAAGCGATCAATTCCACTGCCGCGCAGGGCAACTTTTTGGAAGTGTTAAACATGTCCCTGAACGGTAAGCACCGAGTGCATGAGAGTATCGTAAACTATTTCCAGCTGATCTTATTTTTAGTGTTCGAGAAGCATTACTTGGATCGCAGTTTCGACAGGACTGGCCAGTTGTCGGTGGTGATCACACCTGGTGTCGGAGTGTTTGAAGTTGACAGGGAGCTGACAAATGTGACGAAGCAAAGAATCATCGACAACGGTGTGGGCAGCGATTTGGTCTGCGTCGGAGAGCAACCCCTTCACGCGGTCCCCCTGTTAAAGGTACACGTCTCGCGGTTTTCTTTCTTTTGCAGAAAAAAAATAAAAAAAATAACGCACAGGAATTGTAGTTTCATAATAAGGACTCTTCCGTGAACGCGCCGGACGACTATAGCATGCCTCACTGGATAAATCTTAGTTTTTATTCGACAAATAAGAAAATCCCCTATTCTACCTTTATACCGCGAATAAAACTGCCGCAAAGAGTGGCGAGGCATTCGACGGATAATGGAAAACTACATTGCAAAAGCAAGCTACTGCAGGAAGATCCGCGAGAGTGTCTGCATAATACCTTATTCGACTATGACGCTTATGACGCGCAAGTATTTCAATTGCCAACAGTTCATACTTCAAGGTGAATAAAACTTTGTCCGCTCTTTCTTTGCCTGTCTGAGATATCGTAATATCCGTCTTGAAAAGTAGACGCTTATAATGAAAATTTCGCGTACGTACGTTGAGTAGATAATTTCTTTTCAGTGTGCAAAGGATAAGTACAAGAACGAAGAAGACGAGTGTGGCGTGCCTCGAAACTCACAACAACGGCCATTTGTTGAAACTGTTGAAACGTAAAATGTCGGATCCCGATATACATCATCCACCGCCTGAGACACATTCACCGCCAGTTGTCGCGTTACGTAGCGCAGCGATTACGATACCGCATAAAACAGACGACGATAATAATGAATCTAACGGCGATGGGACCGGTAAGCGGTAATCTTACAGATATTAATTTATTAAAAATAACTGCGATAAAATTGTACGCTCAAAGGTACGTCCAGAACACCGGTCAAGAGTGATTTAACAGATTCGGAGATATCTCCGCCGTTTAGGCCTGTCGTCGGTAGTGCTGGTAGCCCAACAAACTCAATTTCTCAACCAACAAATATACTTAGGCCTAGTAGAGCACTGATCAATCCTTTCGACCCATCGCACGTTACCATAAAACTTACCAGCAATAGACGGAGGTGGACTCATATCTTTCCAAAGGGTAATTATCGACTTCCATTTCTTTATTTAATCTATCACAACTTACATGTAATAATGTCGTATGTGTGACAAATTGATTATTGTAGGACCTACAGGCGTATTAATACAACAGCATCACTATCAAGCCGTTCCAACGCAGACATGTTCGGAGACGCAAAACGAGGCTACCTCGTCTACTGTAAGTGGGTCTCCGATGGAAGTAGGAACGAATCAAATTTCAAGATCGGCATCTCAAACAGGATTTCAAGGTCGTTAGTAGTCGCTAATATCATGAAATTAAGGCTGACGCTTATAGCGCTGTGAGTTCCTATCTTTCTTTCGTATATAATAAAGATGCATACAGCGCTATAAGCACGAATCGGACCGCAGCCTAAGTCATTGCGTTAAAATATATAAGATAAAGACAACGTATGCTAAGATAATGAAGCTTATGTTTCTCTATAGACACGAAAGGCAAGCCACTGCGATCGAATTCCTCGATAACTAATGGAGATAAAGCTGGAAATGCTTCTTCAGCTATAGCGAATAAGAGTTTGACTCTCTTATGGGGTGCCACTGGCGAACAAGAATGGACACCTGCTCTAACAACAGGTTTGCTCGACTGCTTCTGACAATGATTTTAATTTTTATGTACTTTTAATTTTGCAGAAAATATCAGAGAGAGAGAGAGAGATTCTTAGAATTGTTATATATATATATATATATAATGATTTCACAATATATATATATGTATATATACATATAATTTTTTTTGTTTCAAACCAAATATGTGTAACAAAGTTATCGATAAACTTACAAGTTAAAAGAGGGAAAACTCTTAAATAATCTGATATTTGAAGATCCTTTTATTTAACTGAATAACAAAATACTTGCATTACATAACAATTGTATTCAATGAGAGATGAATGTTGTATCCAAAAATTATATAATGCTGCTTGTGCGTATATTGTGCTTTAATCGATTTAATTAATTTTTATATAATTTTGATAATACAAATGTACTAGAGTATAACAAGCAGGAGTGGTGCCCCATGGTTTTGGCTTCAAGTTATAGTGTGGCTTTGGATAATTCAAATTAATTGCCTCTTTTGTCGTGTTTCGTATAAAAGTAACATTTACGAACATGTAAAACCGTTGATTTTTTTTTTAAATCAGCGTTTAAATCAGCGATAATAATAACACAATTAGAATGAAACGTTTGGATACATACGTTTAATATTGAACACCAAGAGGATCAGATGTTATATAACGAAAGACTAAAAATACTTAAAAATCATACTCTAAATATACAAAACATCATAATGTACAAAATATTGTTGTTTTATCATAAAATTCTACGTACACACGGGGAATACCTCCAATGATGCTTGTCTTTTGCAACTTCCCTTTTACAGAGGTTCTATTCTTTTGTCATATTGATTTCACGTTTGTTTCACGAATAAGAGATTTTTTTTCTTTTTTTTTTTTTTTCCTTTATATCAGCTCAGCTTAACGCAATCTCATTTCTCAAAAAATCCTATCTGTGTATCATAGGATAATTACATCCGGGGCAACACATCCTTCATATGTCTACGAGAGGTTTACAAAACATATTTTCATTCTTAAATACATCAGTATTTATTTCTACGAGACCATTGACCATCAGTACAAATAATGTTGTTACGTTTATTTCCATGCTATGGTACGTCTTATTGGGATGCAACGCTGGACGCATTGATACATGTGTGATGTACAACTATGATGTCACTTGCGCTGTTTTACAGCAATCATAGGTTAGCGCCACACACTATTAGGGATTGACCCGGTTATGGTATACATTTTGTACGCACTAGGGACGTTAGTTTTAAGTTGAAACTGTCTCGGTAATTCTTCATCGTTCTTCTTCTAATTGTTTCTCTACACTCTATATTCTGTGTATATATGTATAGATTTGTGTGCTGAGAGTCTTGAAAACTACTACTTTATATTTTCCATAAAGTTGACGTAGTGTAAAACGTGCATTCTCCTGCTGTTATTTTTGAATAGTGTTCTTCTTTTCTAGATTTGCTTTATATCAGTTAAAAAGTTCGGTCTGACCAAAATGACGTATTTACGTATATATGCAATACAGACAACACAATACTGTTCCTCTGCGACAACATCGATGAAGGATCATTGACATTACGACAGAGATTATTCGAATGATTTGTTTCTATCGAATGCGACGAAATCAAGTTTGAGAAATCGATTCGAACTTTTTGACTGATCAAACTGGATATTAAAGCTTGGTGTTTTCGGTATAGAAGGCTGTTGCTTTTTTTCCCCACGAGCTTCTTTCATCTATTTCACATTACTCGCCATTTATTCCTTGCAACTTTGTGCAAATGTTGCTTCTTTTTAAAGTGATATTTATGATCTACGATAGCTTACGCAAACGTCTCTTTCCGCATCTCTTTCACAATATTATTTTCCATGTTCATATATTTTCACCGGGGCAAATTGTGAGCTATATTATTTTAACCTCGGTTTTTCGCGTATTATAATATATCTGTATAATACATGGCCCTTTGTAGAACAAGCTCGACATTGTATTCTCTCTTTTTCGTAGATATCTGCAAGATAAGTGTACTTTATTGCATCTGTAGCAGAAGAAAATAACTTTATGCAGAATATTTCAGAATCATAAGGTTCGGGACTAATAAAACTCACAAGGAAAACAAAAAGTCTCTCGATAGGTCCGACCGACCAATCGCTTCAGAGAATATCGTCGTCGAAAACTTGTCTGTGTTTGTCGGGACTTTCTTCTTCCGCTTCTATGAGTTCTATATATATTGTTTTTCTTTTTTTTTTTTCCTTTATAACTCCCTGACACACTTCGCATACATATTTGTTAATAAGTCTATTTCGTCGTATAACCCAATAACGCAAAATTGAAATCACTATTCACAGACTATTTGTTATAAGCACACTAATAATTGTAAAATAGAGAGCGAAAGAGAGAAAGAGAGAAAGCATGTTTATAGATTATTAATCTTTATCATATTTAAACTGTACACGTGGTAGTAACGTGCACATGGTAGTAACGTGCAAACAAGCGTGATTGCGAAGGAGAGTGCAGTATAATTCAGCTCTCTTTTTCTAAAACGATTAAATTCACTTTTATATGTACATATGTACAGGCGCGCGTGTATAATGATAAAGATTAAATCAAATATGTAGAATGTTCGAAAAGATATTAAACTTTATATGTGTGTAAATTCAAATTTCTCTGTTTTTACAACTCCAAATTTACGAAGAATGTACTGCTCGAGTGCACCCCCCCTTCCCCCTACCCCCCCTGGAACATTCTATATATATTCGAGATGTACTATTGGTAGTTTTCGCCGTGAGGCGAAATTGAATTGTTTATATTGGTTAAAGGGCATTAAATCGACAGTACGGTAGATACTCGATAATTTGATACGTTTTTTTCCGTCTCGCGTAGGATTGGTGGAAATTGATTTATTTTTGAAATGAATACAATGGATAAATGATTAATAGTACTAAAGAATGTTGTGTATCTCGACAACTTTCTGCAACTTTCATTCACTAGCGAGTATTCCGAATATTATCGAGTGTCTACTCTTTGCGACCATGATGAAGAAAGAGATATTGAGTAAAGGACTCGTAAAAGGAGAGATCGAAGTGAAAGGAATATTTTTTGGTCGGTACCAGGAAAGAGATTACGTGACTCTCTGTGAACACATGTCCAACGATTTATCTGTTTCTTCTTCTCGCACCAATACGGTTGGAATCATTTGATGTGATGACTAATCTTTCGAAATTTTATTCGAACAGGGGTCGACTGGAAGTCGCTAACGATTCCCGCGTGTTTACCAATCACTACAGATTACTTTCCGGACAAGCGAAGTTTGCAAAATGACTACGTCGTGTCGGATTACAATCTTCTGCCGGACGACGTTAATGCCGATTTCGCCCAACAACGAGCGATATACAAGAAACCGCTCACAACCACGGAAGTGTTCAAGGAACTGGTCTCACAACGCTTGGCTCAAGTAAGACATATTTACTCACTTTTTCCATTGAGTCTCATGCGGACAATGACGAATGTGTCGTTAAGGGTTTCCAGCTGATCATTTTATCGCCGATTAACAAGAATCAAAGCAACGGGGCTGGCAGTAATGCCGCGCCTGCAATCAGCACGGTAATGCGCGGCAGGCAGACCGAGTCCGAGCCCAAGGAAGAATATTTACTTAGCATTGGCAGAATCTTTCACAAGATATCTCTGTTTGATAATTCCATCACAGTCACGAGATATCGTCCACGGTAAATATATTGTTATTAATGCACCGATCTAATTGGATGACGCGTCTTCGCGTCAATTTTTTTTTTCTCTTGTGTACGCACCGTAAACATTGCTGCAGACCTTCACGATTTCATTACGTAATACGATAGTCAAACTTTAATTAAGGGAGAGTTACCGCGCCTTTATACAATAATAATAAGAGGTATCTCTCAAAGTGTATATTTTACTGCATTTTGGAAACGCGTTGTTCCAATTACAATGCAACGAGTAAAAGAAACGTTATGGAGTTGCTACGTTTTCAGGCACCCTTATCCGCCCTTCAATATACACTATCGATATCGATTCCACGCTCCACACCACGATACGTACGAAGTGTCGTGGGTGTCCTTCACTACAGAAAAACTCGAAAATTACAACTGGAATTACTTGGACCACTATATATGCACACGAGGCCATACCGATTTCTCTTTAGTGGAGGTGAGTGAACGATCTAGCGCCCCTTTGCGAGAAAAAGTCTCACGATCTCTTCATTTCTTTCAAGGCTCTCAAGTACTGGCGATTTCGAGTATTTCTATTACCACTGCACAATTCCGCGACTCGCAAAATCTTGGAAGGTTCATCAAGGTGCGACATATACACTCCACCTAGTAATACCGAGCAAGCGTTACTGATGGATGGCTTTCTACGTTTCATCGAAGGATGGCTGAACAAAATACGACGGCCGAATCCTAATAAAAATTGGGTAATTTTCTCACTATTCCAATTTCCACAGTAGGTGTTTACACAAATGAAATTGATGGATATCACAAATTATTAATTGTATTCCGACAAGGATCTTAAGTGGGACTGTGTATAGCAGTTGTTTAACAAATCATAAAACATGTTCCAAAGAGCAGCTGTGTGATGGTAGTAATATCGCTAATAAGGAATATCTACAAAGGATTCTTTGTCATCTTTTCATTGGGAGAAATGCTCAAATGCTTGGTTCGATTCGAGCTAAGTTTTACATTAGGTCTTCATTAAATACTATGAGTTGAAAATGTGCTACTCTAACACAAATTTTTTTTGGAACATTCCATTATATATATATAGAGATAGATAGATATCTTAATTGCAGTTCTTTTATTTTATTTCTGCAACGCGTAATACTCAAAATCGCTTGATAGTTTTCGTTGTAATTTTACGCCATCTCCGAGGAGTTATTCTACATTTTATAATGATTGATATATTAAACAGACAAGAAATACTTGGACGTACGAACGAGATGCTTAGTTTCATACAAAACACACACACACGCGTACACACCAAGAAAGAATACACAAGAGACTCTTTTTTTATATATTTATAAGATAATATATGGAAGTATATAGTATATCTTTTGGAATATCTCCTCTATATTATACTTGAATGTGTTGCATGCTGTGATATTTGATTGATTTGCGCAGAATTAATTTGGATGCTTTCGTTAATTATCTATATCTTATTAACTTTCGAATTAAGCAGCCTCTCTGTCTCAGCGTATCTATCATAGCACACACACACACGCGCGCACGCACGCGCACAAACACACACACACACACACACACACAATATATATATATATAATCCTATCAGGGTAACAAATAACGATCTGACGATCTAACGTTTTTTTGTTTTTTTGTCAAGATATAGATAAAACGTGTGTAGATAAAACATCGCGACTTACTGTACAACTCACTGCTGTACAAAGACATGTATAAAGATATGAAATTAGAGTACTAATTGAAAAAAAAAAAGAGTAATGCACGGCTTTTTATAAAGCTTCTTTTGATACTTTGCATTAACGTCAGTTGTAACACACACACACACACACACACACACACACACACACACACACACACACACACACACACACACACACACACACACACACACACACACACACACGTATATATGTGGAGAGGGTATATATATACATAATTTATTTGATAATTTATTATATATGCCTACGCGATATTTGGACGACGTGCGATCGTTTCGAAACACACATGGAGGTATTTAAACACGGACAGACGTATCAGCAGCAGCTTGAAGTTACGAGATCGCGATAGGTCTACGAGCATAAAAATCCTTTGTTATTATACACGCGATAAGTAGAAGAGACTCATAGCTGGAATGTTTGTACAGGGAGGGGTATTGAGCATGATATGTTTCAGAGCCCCACAGCTCTAGGTGGTGTTCCCCCAAGAGATCCTGCCTCTCATTTGACCAGACGCAGGCACAGCACGAGCCTGATATTCCTCACTAACCAGGTACATCCTCCCCTCCTCTAGCCTCGATACACTAAGTCCAGCTGTTCATGAGACTCTCGTGCTTTCGAGTCTCTGACTAGTCAGATACGAGCAGGGCGCTGAGAAATTTCTTGAAAAAAAAAAAAAAATGTTTCTTCGATTCTACAGACTATTGTACACATTTTTTTCGAGTGACCGCGAGACGGAATGAAATTGCAACGGGGTGATTTCGCAGAAAAAGGTTCGGTCATTTCGGAGAACATCCGAGAAAGAAAAACTTGGTTAATTGTCGCACTTTTGATGAAAACTGTTTTTCACTTTACGTGAGAACGATCCTCTACCGGTGCAATTTTACACCATCTTACGAACGCTGCTTGATGTATCCGAGTTTCGATCGCTTCTTTGATACGTGTTACTTGGAATGGTCAGGCAGCTTGCCGTACATCACGATTATTGTGATCCTTGCTTGATATTTGCGTTGAATGTGCATCCATGATTTTAGCGAGCTTATCCGTTATGCGTGAGATGTTTGATTTACTTCTCTCTCTCTAACGTTACATACGATATATTTTTAGTGCCTTACGAGCGCCGTATTCTTTTAATGTTGTTAAACGTCGTTACAGTTATAGACAGATATACATCCTCACCATCACCGGCTTGATCATGTCGTTCACAGTTACCCATACGTATCATCGTACTTTCCAGACCAGTCTAGTTGGCAGCTCTCCTTTCAGGGAGCGACTCGGAAGCAACCGTCTACCAGAGAAACCGAGACCAAGGTTTGAACATGCCTACGTTGATGATTTCAGCATTGTTGCTTTGTGCCGACTTCTAACAACGTAGTTTTGCGAACTCCTTTGTTTTCAGTGGATTATTCGGAATTGATGTTTGGTGGTTTTCACTTACGCTTGGTTCATTACATGCCGCAAATATTCAATTATCTGGGCGAGACACTTGCATCGTAACGTGTGCGATTGGCTTGTTGATTTGCCGTAATATGTATTACCTCAGATTACTCCATATTCTCACCGTGCGTGGAAAATCCAAATTTTGTCTCGCTTCTCCGAAGGCGCGCCTCTAATGTTAACACGAGAGAAAGAGAGAAAGGAAGAGTGCGTAAATGCTAGAGAATTTCACGATGACGATATGGAGCATTGACTCGGCGATCGACAATCTTCCGTGACTTTAATGGAATTTTTATGTTGTTGATGCGTGGCCATGTATTAAAACGATTTCTTTTCAGTTTAACGCTTTTGGTGACAGCAGGTTGATAATCTTGTTTGAGATTCAGGCGCAACTAAAAAAGGACGCAACGGTGTACGGTCTTGAACACATTGTATATGATATTTATCGATTCTTCTTCCTTTTCTTAGTTTTCTTGTATTCTTTTATTTTCCTTTTTATTTGATTGCCCTACTTCCCCCCCCCCCCCCCCTTTTTTTTTTNGTTTGATCTGCGAAATATTTGTGCGAAATTCATCTCTTGAACATGTTAAATGCCGTTGCGCAACATACATTAAACGTAATGCTTCTCCAGTGCGATAACAAAAATTATTCCTTCACCACACTTGTAACTTATCGTGCGCTTTGATAACAACTGTCATGATGCCACGATTAATGTCCATTTTTCGTATCACTCACGTGGAGCAGGTGCGACGCATAGGAGGAAAGCGAGATAAGGTTCCGCAAAAGAGGACCCTTGTATTATAGTTTTTGTACCTTACAGCTTCTTACATCCTTTTTTTTTTGTTCGTCTTCTGGCTAATATCCGACGGAGTGTGTATACAAGCGTTTGTCAATATAAGAAAACTGAAATTCAAAGTTTTAAGTCCTCCAGAACGCTTGTACCATATTCCGCGCCGTAGAACATTTTGGTAGTGAGTGAGGGAGTGACGGGGTTCCTCTGTACAGGAGAGGCATGTAGTGAATACCGCTGCGGCTGCCCGCACGTGCCTCGACACTCCTCGCCACGTGCCAAACAGGTTGGTCTCTCTCTCTCTCTCTCTCTCTCTCTCTCTCTCTCTCTCTCTCTCTCTCNGTTTATGTATCTATCGACCCATCTCCATCCCTCTCTTCTTCCTCATTTCTTTCGATTCAAATTTACAAACGTGATGAAGCTGTTTGTGCACAAAAGTTAAAACGAATTAATTTTACTCGTGCAGCTGTAAGTGGATGCGCTGGGTTTCTTACAACTATCTTTTGAGGGTTCCTTTGGCATTGGCAGCACGCGTAAATAGCTGGAGTTACTTGTCATTAAAAAAAAATAAATATAAATAAGAAGGATCGCCTATCTTTTTTTCTTTCTTTTTTCTCTTTGTTCTTATATTTTGTACCCTTATACACACGACGTCTGCATTTGTTTCTCAGACGATCAAAAATATTATTCAACAGTACTGTAATTTGTCATTTCAATAAATCACTATGAGAAATTAGACAGCTGCGGTGTGTGAAATTTGCAAGGATTTTTTTTTATTCGGGAAACTGTAAACTTGCGAATAGATTTGCAGCTAACACTCATTGGGGTTGAAAATATTGCGCATCTGTTGTCATGGAGAATTTTACAAGAATGAGACTTGATAATGAATCGAAATAGAAGATTGCGTTAACATAAAAGAGCGTGGCTCGAGAACTTTGCTTTCGTTAACTTTTTATGTACTTGGCTACAAAATTCAAATAAGATGCGTAAACAAAAATATTTTCGGCATTATAAGTCTCGCTTTATATATTCTTGTTTTCTTGCGTTATCACCACCACTATTCATCAACGTTTTCGTTTTTCTTTGCGCGTAATGTAGATCAGGCTCCAAAGTAATGGACAGAGGACGCGTATCGCCTGCCAGTGAAGCTGTCCTGCCGTTATCGATCGAACAGCAGCAGCAACAACAACAGGATCATTTCGATGTCAACGACGACAGGTGCGAAAATATTGATTAGCTTCAACATTAAAAAATGTTAAATTCATCAAGTAGGGAGAAACTTTCAAGATATATACACGTAATTATACATGTATTGGGATGTAATCAGCCCGCAAGACTTTTCGAGTTTACACACACGTCCTCTCTCTTTTATCAAGAATAGATGATGAATTTTTCGGATGTAAGTTTTTCTAAGGAAAGGGAGACTCGCTATCCTTCTCTGATGACGTCAATTTATGGCGGAAGTAAAAGAATATAGGAAAAAAAAACCACTCGATTCAGTACAGTAGTAAAAATGTTCGGATGCCTTAAACAATTGATAAGTAAACGCGATCCATCTTTTCTCACGATTTCTGTTGCGTTAATTTTACCGCTATTTATTAATTGTTCAAGTTAACCCGTCCGAACAAGTGTGCGATGTTATTTCCACCGGAAATGATTCTCCTCGCGACGTCATATTCATGAACCTGCACAATGTGATTTGATCTGCCCGCAGTGTGAACATGGAACTGACCAAAATAAAAAGCACTGCGACAAACGTGGAAATTCTAGAGGCTATGAAGCACCAACAAACCGGTGTCGGCTTCCTAACGCAACATCCCTCGCTCCCCAGTCAAACGTTTGTTAGCGCGGACGCGATACAATGGTTAAACAATCACATAGAAGGCGGCATGGGGATCGAGCAGGGTATCAATATTATGAAAGTAAGTGTCTCGCATCGATCGATATAGCTGAGCAATATAAATTCATTTTTGTTGCGCAGAGTATGATTCAAGATAAACTAATATGCCATGCGTCCGGCGACTTCTCAAAGCCATTTGTCCTGGGCTTTTATCTGTATCATATCGTGCACGATAAGGAAAATCAAAAGGGTAAGCGGCACGAGTGGATTGTTCTTCAGTCGCCGTTTTGACTCGTTATCGATCAGCCGTAGATTATTCCGCCCCGCTCGGTGATTTGGAAAGCTTCGAAAACGAGTGGGTGGAAGTGGAGATGAGGCCGCCGAAAGGATGGTGCGAACCGACGACAATGTCATCCCCCGTGACTAGTTGCGATGCTATCGATGAATCCAACGTTCCGCCCTTTCTGAGAGACAATATCGACTTGATGGAGTCGATGGATGATAAGAGTTGGACAGGTGACAATATAATTCGTTCTTATTTCAGAGAGAAATATCTAAATCGTACCCTTTTCAGTGTACAAACATACTCACCTGGATATTGACATCAATAATAAAAGCGACAGAATCGAATGGGGCCACCTGAGGTACCAGTCCACCTATAAAGTGGATCACTCCTACGAACTCGTGGTGGAATGGGTGACATCGTCCGGCAGTATAGCAGCCGATCTGGTGAGTCCGCACACCTTACCCGTTGGAAAGATATTGTTAAACGAGCGATCCTTCCCCGCAAGATATTCGTTTGGCAACGCAAGGCGCAAATGTGCGGGATACAGATGGTGCCCGTTCCCAGCGATCTATTAGCACTGCCGTTTACTTTGAAGAGCGATCCCCTCAGAGGGCCGATCTTCATACCACTCGACACGGAGTGTTTAATGGCGAACAAACGGTATCTTTTCGAAGGTATGTACGTGCCGTACGGTCGTTCTGTCCGCGCGATGTAACAATGCAATGGAAATGCACACACAGAGTTCCGGGAGGACACGTACGCCCAAAGATTGTTTCTGTTCCAAGAAGCGATTTTGCAGAGATTCGGCTTTGTACCGTGCTTAGTCGAGAACACCGAGAACGATCATCAGTACGTTCACATCACCGGCAACGCGTTCATATTGGTACCGTCCACGGCGAGTACCCGACCGCGTCCGCGAACCGGCACCAACGTCGTTCGACGGAACACAGGACAGAAGAGATATCCGGTTCACCCGGACCAGCCTAGTCCGCACGAGGCGTACATTACGAGGCACGTCAGTGGGAAAAATAAGGATGATTACAGCATGGACAGGAAGGTGAGAGAGAGAGAGAGAGAGAGAGAGAGACGGTCGGTTATTATCGTGCTATATGTGTTTCAGATGGGCTTCCTCTGGTCCTGGAATCATATGGTCAGTCGTAAGTGGAAATCGCCATCCACACCAGCGGGAGACGAGTTGTTTCAGAAGAAAATCATACAGGATTTTCGACATTTCTGCTCAAACGGAGACAACAGGCTCAAACAGTTTTGGGAGTCTTGCTGGGAGTTGAAGGAAAAAACTTGTACAAAAGCAAAGTAGATGCGCAAGTGTTTTCGTTCGTCATCTAATTGCCGAAAATACAATTGCATACTATTATTCATAAAAGTATGTACAAATTCCTTGATTGAAATCGATTATTTTTATGAGTGTCGTCTTTCGAGAAAGAGTAGATGTATACATTGACAAATATAATTTATACGAGTAATTAGATCGAATTACGTGTATATTCTCTCAGGAAACTCCTGAGGGGAACCATCGGGGCAGTTCTTGGAATTAATTTATTTTACTCCATCTCTCCTGCGTTATTCCATACGGCTGTTGTTCTTCGCGACGGCGTCGTTATACCACTTGTACGCAAATCGAGGATGATCGCGCAAGACCGTTGAATCGTGTTTCGATTGTGATCGATTTCCGTCTGTGTGAAGTTAGCCGGCGACTGTTCGACAACGGGATCCAAGATGTCCTGTCGAAAAGACTGTTCAAAGTCGCAAAGTCGCGAAGACATCGTCGCTGAAAAAGCAACAATTTATCATCAGGCTGCGAAATCCGAGCTCCGATACGTCAATTCCGCCATTTACACGGAAACCGTCAGCGAAGAAGAGCGAGACGCGGCGAAGAGTGAGATTCGATCCGAGAACGATCGAGAAGACAGGACGCGAGAGGACGAAAGGAGCGAGCGAGGAGCCACCGGGCAAGACACCTATAGATGCTACTCTCTTCCCGACGCTACTCGATTGTCCCTCGAACCTTCCGCCGCGCGAGCGGAACGACGATGCAAGATCGATGGCGGCGAGAGACCTTGTCAAGCGGCTAGTAGTAAGCGCGAGAGGTACGTTTCTCCTCGCTGCGCAAGCTACGATCTAACCGAATCCCTGTGATCGGCAGATGCAGTCGGCAAGTCGCGCGGACATCATTGCTCTCCTCCGAACCGATCGGTGACGACAGGAGAATCGCTCATTCGGAATGGGTGCGCAGGAAGCACGAGGCTGCGCGGCGCAAACGAGAGGACGAGGAACGCGCGACGAAGAAGCGGCAGGAGGAGGAGGAGGAGATGGTACGGACGAAGGAGGAGAGAGTTCGGCTGGAGAAGGAGAACTTTCTCAAGTGGATGGAGGGGAAGAGACGGCAGGAGCTCGACAGAAGAGCGATGTTTCAGAACGAATTGGAATTGCAGAAGTGTCTGAAGGAGATCGAGGATAAGACCGCCGTCGCGAAGGCCCTGTACCTCCGTCAGTGGATTCGCAAGAAGAAGGAAGAGCAGAAAGGTGCGGTAGTTGCGATTCGCGTGCCATTCGGAAGAAGAATCCGATCGCTTCCTCTTTTCGCAGCCCAGTATAAGGAGCAGGAGTCGAGGCAGAGGAAGATAAACGAAGAGCGCGAGAAGAGACTGGAACAGTGTTCGACGGCTTACGAGAAGTGGAAACGAAACTCTAAGAACAGACCCAAACCCGCCACGCAAGGATTACTTCGTATGTTTCTAATGTTCCCTTTATGTTCCGGGAAGAATTCCACATTTTTATCGAGTGAATTTCAGCACACCAGAAAGCTAAGCCAGCCTACGTAAATCCGATCCCTTGGCAGCCGATCGTAGAGATTGATTCGGACGAAGCGCAGCAAGATGCGCTCAACGACGAAAACAGGGATAAGAGTCAGCTGAACGGCGGAAGAACAGTCATGGCGCACCAATGATTACAATCGAGAGAAAGAAATCATTTATCTAAGATATATACCATTTCATTTACAACGCACAATATTTAGCGTGACAATTTCAAATTGTGATGAAATTCTGATTAAAGAAGAAATAAACAATCAAATCTCATTTGTACTTTATTTCAGACGAATCCTGAACGTTCGAGGTTCAATCCCCAAAATGTTCAACATTACAAAAAGTAATAACTTTCCGTCCGAAAGAAAGTTGATCTTTCGATTCGTCGTCTACGTTTAACGATGGCTAAAACCACGCTTGCGAGAAAATGAAAGATTGACATGCGTACAAAGGCGATATAATAATACCGTCTTCTTTTTATATCTATCAGTTTGATTAAAGAGTGACTTTAATAGTATAGGTTTGTTCACACGTTTAATGACAAACTGTGCTACATAATATAAAGTATTTGATTATAACAAGACAAAGCAGATCTTGTGATTCGTCTCACACACGCACACACAGAGCCTCTCTTTCATTCTCAAGCTATTCATTACACCTTGGATTCCTCTAACGCGAGAAGAACACACCTATTATTTCGCAAACTGATAATTGTGTGTGGTATGAGAAATATCGTGAGAGTTTCTCTTACTATCGTCTACTTGCCATATGTAAGACACATTATCTCCCTTGGACAACACACACCTCTTCCTCTCCCCAAACAATGTCTTAGAGTTCACACACTCCTTCATATCTCTTTATGTACAATATGCACAATATTCTTACAAAGCGCATTCTACAGTAAATTTACTCTTAATCGAGATAGCAAATTTTCGACAATTGTAATCTGAGAACAAATCGTATGTAATATGATGTATATTAAGTGTGTGTACGCAACAGTCACACGTGTAGGTATACAGTAGATATTGCTTTTTATACATTTGTATTTCGGCGTACACACATAACTCGCGTGCTTCGTTGACGCTCTCAATCTTTCTCTAATCTTGAAGATGGGAAGGCAATGAAGCAGCGATTTGTGAAGATAAACATATTAGCTCCGCGACTTTCTTCGTTTTGCAGGCGCAATTATTCCAAGTCAAATATTACATATACGCTGAACTTTGTAAGAAAGAAAAACAAAATATATTACATTTGTAGAGATCATTTTCTTTATACTTCGGTCGTGTAGTTGAAAAATTGGAGAAATCGTAAACTGAATTTCGTGAATTGCAGAAATAAATTCTTGTCAATTCACAACTCGTGTGCCTTCTTACATGGGATTTCTTAATGTTACACGAAAACATTCGTTGTCCTTCACAATTAATTAAGGTCCCTCGTCCTTATTTGATGACGAGGCGAGAAAACGCAAAAATTCAAATGAAACATTTCTCGACAAAATGGCGCTCGGTGTGATCGATTTGGCACACTTGTAACATTGTCCGAACACTTTTACCCGAGCGATCGATAAAATTAACTTGACGCTTTTTCCTCATGATTTTCGACGTCAATTTTACGACTTGATTGTTGTTTGGACAATTTTACAAGTGCGCTAAGCCGATCACAGATGTTGCTTTCTGAGGATTTTCTTTTATTATATGCGTGTTTGTATACACGTGTACGCATGTATACAATGCCTTGTAATATGTAATGCAAGACATTGAACGATCGGAAGTATCGCAGAGAAAGGAGAGAGATAGTAAAAAATATAATTGCATTGACTACGTCAGCTGAATGAATTCTTTTCTTTTTTTAATCAACTTTCATCGCATATTCTTATAGCGATGTTTTGCGATCGAAGAGCTTTTCGTAAGGAATCTGCTGCCGTAATGATGATACCGCACAACATTAGCGTAACCTCGAGAGAGTTTTGCATCCTCCTCCACCGGTGACACGCATTGCAGCAACATTCGGCAGCGCAATCAGTGACGCTCGCGAAAGACGACCCTATCGTCGATGGAAAACAAATGAGAATGGTCCCTCGCTGGAGGATGTCTCTCCGCAAATTCCACGCTTTCCGTTAAAGCCGAGGTATTGGCGCGAGAACTTTAAAGGGGATGAAAGAGTTTGCGTTGCAACGTCCAGAGATATGGGCATATCCGTCTTAAATTGCCGACCGATTGGATCCCTCCTTCCGCGCGCTTTCTCCTTCTTTCGCTCCTCTTGCGCGCCGATTCCCTCTTTAGAAACTTGGAGCACTTTAGAATTTCGCTGTAGACGTGACACAATAAAGAAATTTACATCGTCCCGTGTCACTGAACGGCAACGAGCAAGACTGTAAAAGGAAAGGGATGAGACAGCGCAATTTTAAGCGTTGAAAATGAAGAAGGAAGGACATTTCGAATCGTTAATCTAAAAGCACTGTGAAAATAATAATCAAAAGACTTTCTGCAAATTGGGCGATAAATTAAATTAGGATTCGCTTCGTGCATGGGGACAATGTTAAGTTGTGAACGATAACACAAAGTAGCAAGTCAACGCTCAACGTTACTTTAATATGAAAAACGTGTAATCTTTTAATCGTAACAGCTATAAAAAGTTGATGATACTATAGGGATGATGATAATAGTAGTAATAATAATAGCGATGATATAAAATAATAATATATAACGTTTGGCATGTGTTTCGTTTATCTGTACAGTAATCTGTGGCGCGTTTGAAAATGTTTCAATTACCACAATCCGCATTCCGAAAGCTAAGAATAGAGAGAGTGTGTAAAAACCAATTTTTCTGGTTAACGAAGGAATACACTGTAAACTAATACAACAAACTAACTTATAACCGCACACATTACAAATAACAATAATAGCAATAATAATGATAGCAATAATAATATAAACGATACCGTAATTATAACACACAACATGCACAATAGTGCAATAACAAGAATGAACAAATTAAATATCATACGATTATTTGCAGCGTGTAACGTCCATCGAGTGCGGAAAAATGGTCGCAATAATTGGCGTCAATTATCGTGCGATGTATAATTCTCCACAATTTTTAATTCCGTCCGATCTCAATGGTAATATAATCGCAGCAAAATGATTTATCCGCATCAATATGAACATACTCTCCGCGCAATTTCACACAATTGTATCCTGTGTATCCTGTCGCTCGTCAAATTTGTTTTTAAAAGTAATATAATATTAGCGGCTTCTATTGGATATTACACTCTTTAACGAAGCTCTCGTTGAATTTTCCCGAATATTACGCAAGAATGTCTTTCAAAAAGGAAAAATTTGTTTTCCCTTCTTTCTTGAGAGATCTGAGATAGCTGAAAGAATGTAGATAGCAACTCAATCCGTATCACCTACTTACGATGAACGACATTTGATTGAACCGACGAAACCCTTTATTAATGGCGTCGCGATAATATGAAAAATAAGCTTTCATCGTGTCAGGTCACTTTATATGATTATCGATGGCGTTTTGTACGATCGATATTAATTGATCGCAGATATCAAAGCTAATATAACAAAGAGTCGCACACACATCGAGCGTAACGCGTCGTAATGTTTCCCTTCTTTCTTCACATTTCGATAAACCGAGACAAATCTATACATGCGCGAGCGAGGAAATGCGTGTAAAAAATGAGCTATGTGATTCGCGCGGATCAAGACAATTGTGTATATTAATTTTGTCGAGAGAAAGAAGAAAAAAATATCAGAATTCGTACATCAGCCGGTCATAACATGTTGTTGCGTAAAATTTTTCTCTGGAATAAATATAAAAACAACTACATAGTTTCGTTCTGATCAGACAACACGCTGGAGGTGAAAAGTTTGCATGCCACAGGTTGGCTGAATTTGCGCACTATGTAATCATATCCTTCCCATATTTACACATAAGCTTAAAGTTATAAACGATTCGTTCTCTGGTACGAAACGATTACTTTTGGTATTGTTTAGTGATCGATTTCTCGAACGTTTGTCCGAGAAGACGACAAACTTTCTCGCAAGGAATTACTACAGACATGAAAATGGAGCACATTTGTTTGTTGCCTTTCGAAAAGAAGTTTTCTCAGAAACGTATAATTGTGTGTGTGCGCGCATGTAACGGACTTGACGGATATTTCAGCTCAGACCTTCCAGAAATCGACCATGTTTCTGACTAATACAATGGTCATAGAATGTAAGAGCTTACGAAAAATTATACTATCTTACAATCTAAAGAGCTATCGAGGAACGTCGCGCTGGATGGACCTGGTGTTGCACCTCTGTTGTCTCTCGTTGATTAACAGTGGGTTCAAAAGGTCGCGAATGATTTGAAAATTTTGGAAAAATACTCGATGGTATCGGCTGTTGTAACAAACGATAAAATAGTCGGGTTCAATTTACCGCTCGATTGTTCCGCAAGATCGCATGTTTGAAATGTCGAGCAAATAAGCGAAACGATTTTGATTTCTTCCTTTAGCATCAACGATGAAATCGTAAGAGTGGTAAAACGACCGACAATAATCTTGTCCGCCAAGTGCGCATTCCTCTTCACAGTTTGCTGATACAAGCTTAAGCTAATTTGAAATGAGCCAACTTTTTTCTCCTTCCACTCTACTTCTCTCTTCCGTCGCGACAGGCAGAGTGTGCAAACACGATTGCGCTTTCTAGTACAATGAAAAACTGATATGTCTTCTTACGCATCTAAGATTCTTTTTCGTCGCCCTCTTATGAGACTTTTGATATATTCCTGTAAAGTAGAATCTTTAACTTGCCCCCGTATGGCTGGAAATACTACTGAAAACTATACGGATTTATACATACGGACGAGATCTTTTGAAAGATAGAAACGCGAACTTTGAGAATCGTGTGGTAATGGATTATTAGCCCGTTCGTATTCAACATGCGCGCGTGTTGCGACGGAAAGTTGCGGACAATTGTGTCAAGTTCTCCAATGCATCGAATGATTTAACAAAAGCGCTATCTTCCCCCACCATACATATCGAAGGCTAGTCGAATGAAAAATAGAGTTTCTCAACGAAAATTTGATTATTACCGTGTCGACCTGCGAATTGTGAACAAATAGCTCTCAATTTCGCGATGAGTCGCAGATAGACGCGTATCAAAGCGCGTTCCTTTTTATATTAATTTCCGTCTTTTACGGAAACAACATGTGCAAGCTACGCTTGGCGAGAGGTTCACACTTATTAATGTCGCTTCCTGCTTTCCTTCTCGCGTTGGAACAACTCCGCGCTTAAAACGCGACACGAGACATTGTTAAGGGATATTTTTCCCAGCACATACTCTCGCACACGACATCGGGTGGATGTTATATTCTTCAATGTGTTTCCTGGATATAAAAATGCAACGAGTGTTTGACGCTCCTTTGCGCTCCACCGACGTACGTAGCACACCGTCCGCGCGTTCGTTTATTAAATAAGCTTCGTCTCTTGATATTCGGTAGGTAGGTAGATAGGTAGGTAGTTAGGTACAGAAAGGCACACAATGAGAAATATAAGGATAGAGAAAGAGGGGGGAGGGGGGGAGAGGCCGCACGCTCGAAATATCGCGCTTTTGCGGTCTTTCCATCGTTTCTTTCGCGGAATCAAAGTAAAACAGTTATAAGGCGGCCCATACTGTCTACTTCAAGAAGGCAACATTCCGATCAATCAGATATGAATTTTCTTCTCGAATCGACGATAATAACGACAACATCGGTGGAACTTTTCGGATAGGCTCGAAAATGAAACGACTCGAAGTTTAACCGACGCCAAACCATATAAAACGCGCGGAGACTCGTACAATAATATGATAGATAGTACACGTATATACATGTGTGTGTGGTGTTTGTCTTTATGGTGAAACAACTAATATCGCAATCAATATTCCACATTAAATTATAAAATGCGAAATATAAACATAGCGCGCGTGTCGTGTTTATATCGATCGCGGAAAACGCACGTTACATTCGAGAGAGAAAGAATGTGTATCGAGCGCATATCTTTGCATATATTTTTTTCTTTCTCGTCGCACATATGTACGCGCGCGCGCGCGCGCACACGCACACACACACACACACATTCATCGAATCAAACAGATCGCCCGCGTTTCATTGTAGCTCATCCTTTGTAATCTGTTGCGTACGATAAATGTGAGGAATACAGTAGTGTCTTACGTATACTTAACTTGAAATTTTCGAATGATGCGCGATATGAAGAACTGGCTGCTAATAACAAGTCGCAATCCATTCTTTGATTATCATGAAATTACTATAAAAGGAGATGACATTTGTTACAAGGGAACACTGTCCGACTCATGTCGACAAAATCAGCACTGAATCGCCCAAAATGTTTGGATGATACGTACAACCGTAAGTTTTTATTAATTTTGAAACACAAAAAAACTACTTTCAACAATTCATACTTTGCCAAAATAACACATTTTACAATATACACGAGATATCTTAAAAGTAACAAGAGCGTATAAACAAATTTTCCTTAATAATTCTCTCTCACGCGCACCGAATAATAACCGTGTAGATACAGAAGCGTTGGACTGAAAGCGTACACACATACTCTTTCTTCTCGCGACGAAATATGATCCATGTTACAACCGAAAACGCATTTCCCCTTTAAAATGTATACGTGTATATATATATATATATTTTTTTTTCCTCGATTCTAAAAATAAAAACTCAACGCGTGCTCTCTCGTAATCTTCTCGAAAACACTCAATTCAATTTCCAACATCCGCGTTAGTTTCGAATCAGGGCGCTAGCTTTTCTCTCGGAAATCTCTCTTAATTGTTACTTTAATTAGTATTGAATGTTTCAGAACGCTTAAATCTCTCGTTTTCTATCCCAGTTTGCTCTCACTTATCATAGGTATGTTTATTGTTTATGAGATGTGTATTATATAAAAAAATATGAATCGTCTTGTTTCTTCTATCAGAGGTAGATACGCAGGAAACAGAAGCGATATTCTTTTCTTTTTTATCGTTTTTTTCCCTTTTTTTTTTCTTTTCTTTGTGTATACTTGGCTAACATGTGCCTGTCCTTTTCCCTCCAAATCATCTCTCTCGCGGTTAAAAGCAATTTTCATATGCGCGCGCGTTTCGTTCGAGATATTGCAACAGAATCATTCATTCCAGCACAGGGCGCACACTCAAGTAAAAAATAATGATTAATTCCCGCAAGAGAGAAACAAATTTCGGATTAAAGACACGAATCCATAGATACTTTATAAAATAGTTACGTGGCATCTGGTGCAATAATCCAACAATTTCTACCTACGGCACTTAAGGTGCCAAGTAATTTTAATTTATATACTTACATGATACATGTACATTATACATCTTTATAATATGATAAAATAATTAGCTGAGCCCTACACAAAGACACAAGAGCCTAGCCACAACAGTAGGAAGTTTTACAATTCTTNACTAACACTCGGCTGTATCGCACACACATATGTAAGTTTCACGCGCGAATATGTACAATTAGAGAATCGAAGAGAAAGAAAGAGAGAAGAAAACGACGAGGGATTGTGTATACGATGATTATATGTACATAAGTTCAATAATACGGAACAATAAAGGAGCGTTAAAATATGAATTGAAGCAAACAAAATGAAAGCTTTCTTTTTGATAGGAAATACGAGCGAACGGAACGCTCGTCGTTTCGCTAAATTGCTTTATTGCGCGTTATACTCGTGTTCCGTCGCTATTAAGCGGAAATACGCCTCTCTTCGATCGTGCGCACATCTCCCCCGAGACCAACGAGATCTGAAACTACTTCAACGCTTGTGTTTCATTATCACTAATTTCGGCGCTCGTTGACGAACGACCGTGTCATTTCTCGGTGTTTCTCGGCCAATGAGACAAGGGAGACAAGGGTTTGCACGATCTCCGTGCAAAATAACCCTCCCGCCAAGTTTCACGCTAGTGTACGTCGCCAGCCTGACGTCAGTCAGTACTGCCGCTGCTATTTCCAAAATATTCGCCGGCATCACCGCGACATATCGGACACGTTCTGTTGGACTGCGAAACACGATTAATGGTTGAAATGCTGCCACTGATCGTACGAGAGAAAGAAAGAAAGATGGTTGTAATTTACCTTGAGCCACTTGTCGATGCATTTAGAATGGAATTCGTGGGAGCACGGTAGAACACGCAGCGATTGGAGAGCCTCGAAGTCGCACATGCACACGACACAATTTGTCTGATCGCCTTGATGCGTTTCCGCATTGAATTTGTATGAGGGCAGCTGCTCGACCTCCGCACGAGTCAATCCTCGTGGCTTCGCCTCGCCCAGTCTTTCGGCCAAGGACAAGAGCGCCTCGTAGTTTTCCGTCGCAGAGTCGGGCGAGGATAATTCGGCCTGACTGTAGGGTGACAACGGTGGATTGCTGAACATTGCCCTGCGGGAGAGAGACACAAATTCGTTCGATCGTTTTCTTCGTCTGACAAAGAGCAATTACGTACAGGAAGTGCAGTAAATATCCCGGATACGTCATAGGCGGTAGCGGGGTGGTGCCTCTCCATCTGCTGTATCTCGGTCGCCGTAGCGTATGTACATTGGACGCTACTCGTCGAGTCCTGCTTTGAATGATTTCCAATTGATTGTTTCGCGTCTCCGACAGGAATAGAGGCGGCGGTGTTGTAACTTGCGTGATGGTTGGCGGAGAATAGGAATGCGGTAATGGCAACGGTGCACCAGCGGCGGCACCCACTCTATGATGATGGTGAGAATCTATTAACTCTAGCTCGACCTCCCTCTGAAATGAAAGACGGGCGAGTGGTGAAAACGCCGGTGGTGAAGAAATAAACGAATTATACCTGTTGAGACAGTTGATGATGCGCGGTGTAGTCGGTAGTATGGACGGGCGGTGGAGGTGCGTGATGCAGCGCTGCTACAGGACCACCGGCTGGTGTCGGATATCCTCTGGAAGCAGCGCCGAGCAAAGAACTAACCACACCCGGATGACCCGGATGCGTCGGATGAGCAGCGGAATAATGACTATGGTGATGCGTGACCTGAACAAAACAACGATATTCCCTCCTGTTCAGACGCGATAACGAATACTCGATTGATTGATCGTCGACTGAGAAGCAAGCAAAGCACCTGGCACGAATGTCCGAAAGGATGCGTCCCGTGAGGCGTGTAGATGCTGTGAAGTTGACACGGAATCCTGTAACCAGTCGCCGGAGGATGCCACAGAGGTTCCCCGCTAACGGCGACCCCCAAACCGGACACGCCGACTTGGCCCACGTCGACGAGTGGCACGGGTGCGTTCGCACCTTGCGCGTGGTGGTGTCCCGTGCCAGGGGGATGATGCGTCTGATGAGCGCTATGGATGTTGTGGTGACTGTGGTGGGAGCTGTGAATGTTGTGATGGGAACTGTGCAGATGGGAGTTATGGATGGTCTGATGAGGATTATGACCTGGTAGGAAAGGATAGGAGAGCCCGAACGAATCCGTGTATCGCTGATAACGGTTCCTGATCGTCGGGCTGCCGCGGGTGGACATGTGATTGCGGGGCGAACGCCGTTGAGGCGCGCCCGAATACTCCCAGGGCGACGGAGTTGTGTGCAGAGGTGGCGTCGGAGCCGGCGGCGTTGTTTCCCGGACCTCTATCCCGGACACGGCGCCGTTGCGGGATATTCGACGACGCTTCCTGGATGGCGATTCACTCTGAAAACATTGTTTACCAGCTCGGCAAAAGAAAGAGGAAAGCTGACCACCGAGAACATTACCATCGAATACATATTCGAACCAAGAAATGGAAGGAGAGAAATAATCACTCACTTTTCTACCATCGTCCTGACTAGGCTGTCTGTAGTACGGCGGCGACGGTTGAATCTGCACGGGACTCAGAGGTAGCTGATTTGTGGCTGAAAGTAGAAAAATCCCCATCTCTTAAACGATCGGAAAAGAAGTGTGAGAATTCGTCTCGAGATAAGTAACGGGCGCCGCTGGTCATACCTTGAGAATTTCTACGGTACTCTATGTCTACTCCACTGGCTCCAAGGCCGGGACTCATGTTCAATATCGGGCCACGCATCGTGTTCTCCTGAAAACGAGCCGGTGAGAATTTCTCGCCGAGTAAACCGAAAGAAAGGGGGCGGTGTAGTGCTTACCTGTCCGCAGATATTGATGTGCAACGGCGGGGAATTGGCTTGCGGACCTACCACCGGCTCCTGGGGGAAATGCGGGCCCCTCGTCTGCGGACTTCCGTGCTGCGGGGGCGACTTATATCCCACGCTGGATCCACCCACGTTCCCGTGATAGGAAACTTCCTTGCCGGCCGGCCCGGAGGACGTGCCGACCCCGGGGCAATCTCTGTACAGATAGAGAAATATGAGCGGGTCGTGGTATGTGTGCGCACGATACCCCCATCAATAACCCCCTTTGGTAGTGCGCCTGCTTCTATGCGAAAATTCGAAATGATAACTCGGTTAAGATAGAAATGAGTGTACCGCGAGAACGCTGCCGCTTTATTTCCCCTTGCATTAATGATGCGCAAAAATGGATACTTTCGAATCGATCTCTTTCTACAATTGAACCTTTATCGCGCCCTGAAACGACGAAATGATACGAATGGGAATATCGGATTGCCGAGAGTGTATCGATCCGCCGTGTGTGTGTGTGTGTGTGTGTGTGTGTGTGTGTAGACATGCCTAATTAATTTTACTTCTGATCCTCTGGCGCACAAGGTCTCGGCGTGCCAAATTTGAATTTCGGGATAAGCTAATTTGTCCCATCTCGAGAGATTTCTATTGTGAAAGGGAGAGAGAATCGCCCTTCTGTTCCCGTAAACTCTGTATCCGCGCGACTGGTTACGCGAAAATCGAGCTTACGCGAGACGATTAGGCAAGTATTTTTCCACAAACAATTGTGAAAGTCGTCAAATATTCGCGTCGAAATCACAACGACAAACTACTCGACACCGTTGCTACACGGTGCCAAATTACCTGACGAGACAATATGATGAAAGAACGCGCGATTTCGATGAAAGAACAATCAAGGTGATGAACTTCATATCGAATCTCGAGATATCATTTGAGAGAGATCCACGGGGGTAAGATTTAATTAAAATATTCGCCTATAACCGTTATAGAATCTAACCATTGTCGAAAATAACTAACGGCCAATTTCACGTACTTATCGGCACTGTTTGATACTCGTTAACGAAAAATCGGAATTTGTCAACGAATCGAAAAGGATATCCGACGGTACGCTCTCTGTATGTATTTGCTTGACCTACAAGCATCGACGAATAAATTGACCGTAATGGTTAACGATTGAACAAACTGGACCGCGGAGAGTTTATTTATTTTCGTTAGCCGAGGATTTATTTATCGTTGCACAATCGAAACGTAAAACCGGTTACCTCGTGAGTGACGCCATGAAAAATATATATCAATGGAAACCGAACTGCAATGTTACATAATATACGAGTGCGTTCGCCACACTGCGCTCGTGTACAGAGATGCGCTAGTATATAATGTAACGTTTCTATGTAACGCTCTTTCACACTTTTATCTGTATTTCCCTTTTGGGAAAAGAATATCTCTCCATGAACGATTAAGATTGGAGGTCGTATTTGGAACGATAACTGTTACGATGCGTTATACTCGATACAAACGATTCAGAGGGAAAATTACGCGCACAAGTTAACAACGATATGCCACAATGCCGAATAAAGGAAACAATTTTCTCCCTTTTGAGATAAAAAGACAAGTAAAACGTTTGTCGCGTGTCTCTCTCTCTCTCTCTCTCTCTCGGCTTTCTCCTTACATACATGTGTGTACCGAACTGATAAATATGCGCAAGCATGCCACCAAACGAGACTGGAACGTACAAACATGGTATGGAAAAAAGAAAAGGGAGATGTGATTAAGAAGAGTGGAACGCATCAAGCGCACGTTGCATGAAAGTCGATAGAGTCGTATCTCTTGAACGATTCATCGGAAAGATGGTGTTAATTTCGTACGACGCATGTTATTTGCAACAAAAATTAATGCACAGAGTTTGACTCATCGGACGCACGAGAGCAAACATGCGTTTCATGCGATGCATGTGTAATTTGCAAGTTTTGCGCGCAGGATGCCGTTGAACGGTCGATTGAAATTCTTTCAAACCGCCCATATTTTACTACGTATCCATTACAGTCGACCGTAACCCTCGTAAAGCCTGTAAGTAGTGAAGAACCACGCGTCGAAAGAAATGTTCTGCATTCGATAGTTTTTGATTAAGAAACGACCATATAATTACCGCTGACCGTATCATTTCGACACGCACAGCTATGCAAATACGCTGCATAATGCACACTCGCTAAGAAATAACGCGACAAACCGCATCGAGTAAGGTCTTTGATCATTCGGTCTTTCAAAATCAATCTTAAAATTCGTTCATTGTCACCATCCAATACTTCTAACATGGATCTATTATTTGTATGGAAAATATCATGCTTGTACGACCGCTAATAACAAATTTCTCGAGCAATTTTAACTTTGCCAAAATATCTCGTAACACTCATTGTTTTCAGATTGCACATATCATGAGATATATATGTATTGTGTGTAATGCTCGATTCAAAAAAAGTATTCAATGTGGAATGACAAAAAGAAGGGCCCTTTGAGCCTCTATCTACGGGAAAGCCGGCTTCAAATCTGTTTAGAAAAATGTTCGTTCCAACCGGAAACCGAGTTAGCTCGTAAAATATTAGATAAGAGATTGTTATCGAAAGTTCACTAGATTACCAAGGATTTCCAACGTTCGAACACGTGGCGAGCACAACGATACAGAGTGAAAAATATCATTCCCCCGAACGATCGAAAATATACAATAGTCGACCTTACGCTTACACGCGTAAGATTGAAAATTTCGGTGTCATATTTGCGCGGCCATTGGCGTTACTTGTATGATTTTCAACCTTATAAGCTTAAAGCGAAAAATTGTGTACTTACAATCTGGTCTTCTGACTACCTTTTGCATCTAACAAAATTCAGCAACGCAGAAACAAAAGTATGAAAGAGGGGAGGAAATCGATAAACCGATTTAATTGGTAAGCGAACGCCTCGTCCAAGGCTCGCGAAAGACCCGGAGTACAAGCGCGGAAATAAAGCGTTGCGACTTGTGCATCGGCAACATGGGACGGCACCCTTCCGGAGAGTTGATTGTCGTCGATTAGAGAATCATCGAGTCTTCAATGTCGGTGTCTCTGAGAATTAAGCACGCACAGAACCCAACGTTCGTTACGTACCGCGAGACTCTGTCGTTTTATGTTAAGAAGCAACTGGTTCAAGTAATATGTGCTGGATAATGTTGACAACACTTGAAGATGATGACTGTACGTGAGAACAACACGTATCAACTCCCGCGCGATGTCTAACGAAGACTGAGCGACACCAAATTTTATCTGTTCCCGAAACTTCCCGATACAGCTGATGGGAATTCTATGAAAATTAAATGGATTTTGCTTAATTTATCGTATTCTCTGTTATCGGATTCTTCGAGCGATAAAGCGATTATTTTTCTTTATCGGAAATACCGAAGGAAAGACTCATCAGCGATTCGTCATCTCTCGATATAACTTTTCGAAGAGGTGAATAACCAAGAAAATATTCTTTCATATTACAAACATTCTTTCATACGGGTGGTATTTTTTATCAAGTCTACAAAGATCAGTTGAAGAAGAGAAGAATGTTTTAACGAATTTTCCGGGCAAATTTGCACAAAAATCGATCGAAAAAGGTTGCAATTACTCTCCCGGATACTTCGCTATATTAATTAAATCGACGATTGTACAAATCGCCGATATGTATTTTTCGGTATAACTTGATTATATTTTCAATGGTGAGGTAAACACAAGGATCCCCATTAAAGCGGAAGTGCCGTTCGGGGTTGCCTCCCATCCGTTTAAAGATCGAAGATAAAGATCAGCATCGTTGCACAATAGATCTGACACAACTTCGGACGCATTCTTCTTATGCAGTTGTCTAATGACCGTGTGTAAAAGTTCCGTCATTGCGCAGCGATTTAATGAGAGAAGAAACATATCACGTTCCTGATTACATTCAGCCGAAATATTAAAGAGGGGGGAGAGAAATGACTCGAGCAAGTATACTGGCAGATACGACATTTTTTATGGCGGTCCAAATTCGCCGATAAAAGCGATTTGAGGGACGAAACGATTAATGAAGAAAAAGTGATTTATCCTATGATGCGCGAGAAACTTCAAAAAGATAGACGTCTTATAATCATTCGTATAACTTTTGCGCAATCCTATTTCGAGAACAGGCAGGAAAAACAAGCGACTGCCGCGCGCGAGTTCATTTGAATATATATCCATTGTGACATCGGGTGTTTACGGCGAATTGTTGTTGCTGTTTTTGGTGGGGACGGTAAGAGCGCCTTATCACGACCCTGTGTAACGATGACTCCACTCAGGGCCATTCATTCTCTTCCTTTTGCTTTCTCCCTTTCCTTCTTCCACGCTCGTTTGCTTTCTCCGATCCTTTCCATCGCCTCTCTTCCTGCTGTCGTCCTCTTTGCCGGAGATCAACTCCTTTTGGTCACTACGCCCAGCCAGCCGGCTTCCTCTCGTGAGCGATCGAAAGAGCCGGAGGTTAGTTTAAACAACGTCGGGCTGATTTTCAATGCAAACGTAACTGTTTTCATCTCGCCCACCATCACTCGACGCGTCCGAGATCGATACTATTTATCTCGCGCGAAATGTTCCCCTCCCCCCATTCTCACTTTCGTTCAATACGGTATTGAATAAAAAAAGCGGCTCGCTCGCACTCGAAATTTCTACTTTTTACGATTTCCGTAGTCTCGAAACTCAGTTTCCAAGGAGCCGTCGATCGTGAAAATTGACTTCCAAATTGCTGGAAGAATTGGCCGCGATGGCGAACACTTGTGTACCGTTCGCGAGAACAATGCCAGCCCGTGACGGATAATTTTAACGGTGTGCATTATCCGGCGAACACTCTCAGGAGCTTCTCCCGTGCTTTTTTTTACTCGGTCAGAACCATCGCCACGCCATGCCGTCCCGATGGAACGATTAAGTGAACCGGAATATCCAGACCCCGTTGCTTTCGGCCAGTTCCCCCCCCCCCCCCCCCNGGGCCCGTGTTCGAGGAAAAAGTGTCTGGACAGGCCAACCGATAACCGTAAGTTCGCTGTATATTTTTAGGCCGGGTCTCTTCGTGCTAACTCACTCGAACGTCATGATAAAACGAATCGAAGAGGAGGGAGGTCTTTAAAGAGACGGTCTGTGCACCTTTAAGCAAATATGATGTACGATTGCAAAACGAGGCAGTCTACATTTCTTC